CAGATGTTGAGGTTAGGACTCTATCAAATATTTTGTACTCTGCCCTTGGGTTTTTACGTCCAAGTTGCATTATCTTGCACTTATCCACATTAAATGTTAGTTGCCACAACTCTGACCATTTTTCTAGTTTACCTAAATAATTTGCGATTTGGCTTATCCCTCCTAGAACATCAATCCTGTTACATATCTTAGTATCATCAGCATAGGCCTGGGCACACCCTTATCCCCATGGCACGAGCTATGTGCCTCCCTCCATGGGCCGGTGAGGGAGATCAAAGATCTCCCTCACCAACCCACAGGGAGGGAGGCAGGAGAGCTCTTGTCAGCAGCTCCGCCGGGATCCTCTTGCGCAGTCGGAGCGTTGCCGCGGTAACTCAGATCTCGCGAGAGTGAACTCTAGCCCCGCAGGACCACCAGGGAAGGCAGGAGCACAGTTCCCCTCCCTACATAAGGTAAGAAGGGAGGGGGGATATTAACTAAATGGCCCTCACACCCCCACACAAACATGCAGCACACACACACATCATCCTTACACTAACTCACCCTTACACACACACACACAGCACACAGTAACAGCATCCTCACACATGCCCAGCGGTGTGTGTATAATATATATATACATACATATATATATATATATATATATATATATATATACACACACATATATACATACACATACTGTGTGTGTTTCTGCTTTAGGGTGCACACCCTTATACAATAGGCTGCGCACGCCTATGATCATCAGCAAAAAGACACCTTACTATCAAGACCTTCTGCAATATCACTACTAAAAAATATTAAAGACAATGGATCCAAGTACAGATGCCTGAGGTACCCCACTGGTGACAAGCTCAAGCTTTGAACTTACTTCATTGACTACAACCCTCTGTTGCCTGTCACTCAGCCACTGCCTTACCCATTCAACAATATTGGAATCCAAACTTAAAGATTGCAATTTATTGATAAGCCTTCTATGTGCAGCAGTGTCAAAAGCCTTACTGAAATCTAGGTAAGCAATGTCTACTGCACCATCCTGATCTATTATTTTAGTTACCCAATCAAAAAAAAATAAAAATATCAATAAGATTAGATTGGTATGATCTCCCTGAAGTAAACCTATGTTGTCTCTGATCTTGAAATCCATGTGTTTTTAGATGTTCAACAATCCTATCCTTTAACATGGTTTCCATTACTTTCCCCACTGCTGAACTAAATCTTACTGGCCTATAGTTGCCTGACTCCTCCCTACTACCTTTCTTGTGAATGGGCACAACATTCGCTAACTTACAATCTTCTGGGACTACTCCTGTTAACAGTGATTGGTTAAATAAATCTGTTAATGGTTTTGCTAGTACACCACTAAGCTCTTTTAATAACTTTGGGTGTATTCCATCAGATCCCATTGACTTATTAGTCTTTACTTTTGGCAGTTAAAATAGAACCTCTTCCTCTGTAAACTCACGTGTAATAAATGACTCATTTGTCCTTTTTCCTAACTGAGGTCCCTTTCCTTCATTTTCATCTGTAAATACTAAATTCGGTCAAGTGCTGTCCACAAGTTCTGCAAATATTCCTCCCAGGTAGAGATATAGACAGCTATTTTGTCCAAGCATACACAGGCACAGTCTCACAGACTGTGTAGGAGCTGTTCGACCATCCAGTGGCAGGTGAATTTTCCATTCCGAACGTCATGACTCAAAATTGGCACAGGCCGAACATAGTCACTAACAGGTGGCCTCTAGAATCCAAGGGAGATTTGCCAATAACCTTTATAACCAAGGTCTATAGTGGTTAGGTAATTCCCCCTAGCAATTCAGTCAAGCAGCTTATCCACCTGGGGCATGGAGTACTTGTCTGTCACCATCTTGTAGTTAAGTAGTCTGTGACGGACCACCTAGTACCCCAAACAAGTACCTGTGAGCACCATAACCACTGTAAACTTCACGAACCGCCACAGCTTGGTTGGGGTCTCACTGTCCTCCACCCACCCTGTACCCAAGACCAGGACCCAGCTTCCAGTTGGTAGACCTCTCCTAGTCCAGAGAGCATAGCAGGAACAGCTCTTATAAGAGCTAGTGATTATACTCAGGGGAGTATTGCGATTATAGCAATCCCCAGAGTGATTATAGCGCTACAATCCCCCAAACATGAGCCCAGACTTCATGAATGGGTAAACGAATCTCAGTTTAATGGGAGCCACACTTGGCCTTATATGACAATTCCCATACAAAGGGTACGACTACATGGACTTGATGGTAGACTGATTTGCAACTTCACATACCAAAAACAATAAGGTTACAAGGCACGACACTCCCACACACAGCACAAAATCCCTCCCCTCTGCCTGGGAGATAATTAGATCAGTAACTGTACTAATTGTAATACAATTATCTCCAAGCACAGAAGACACTTTTTAAAAACACCTCAAAAAGTACCCTAAAAATACATAAAACCCCACAAATGTTACATCCTCTGATAGACCTGACCAACCTATCCAAAAATCACCTAGATCAGTTCAGGAATTTCCTGGAAGTCCTATTTTTGACCGACTGTGCACATGGTCCTATGCCCAAAACCGTTCCAGGTAATCAGGGCTAACGTTTGGTTTCTCTGTCTGGAGTACAAAAGTACATAACTCACATGAACAGAGCCTTTTCAAGTGAATTGGGCAAGGTATATTGCAGGGCCCATAGTCCTGAGTCAAGAGGCTGGCCAGCAAGCCCCTCCAAGAACCCGTGACTAGGTTCAGTTTGTCACATAGTCTACCCAGAAATTGGGTACACCTATCCCACTTTGGGAAAAATACCACAGAGGAAACCCCAAAGACTAGTGGAAGGCTCTTTGACACCTAGTTTCAGCATATCTCTATTATTTCCTTATTCCTTCACTAACTGCTTCTGGGATTCGGTGAGCAGGCTGTCGTAAGCGCACCTGTCCAGGTGTTTACACCCGGTGCAGCTAGGGATCTATACCCAGAAATAATGGAGAACATGTCCCTTTGGGCCTGTCACAGCTGGTGAACCTATGCCTGGGACCCCAGTCCTTTCCCTAATTTATGGTTGGTAAAGGGTCCATCAGGTCTTTTACTATTCTACTGAAGGATTGCCCCACTATAGGCTAACCTTAGAATTATCTCCCCTTTTTCCTACTTGCTGGCAAATAATGTCACAAGTCAGGCAGTGCTGCCAAACATCCCCCGTGATTCCTGGTCAGAAAAAATTCTGTGCGAGTCTGTGTAATGTGGGGCAGATGCCAAGATGTCCTACCACAGGGATGTCATAGCTTATCCTCAGCAGTACAAACTGATATTTCAGAGAGACTATCAGCTGTCTTTGGGATCTGAGGGACTACCTCTCCCCATCCCTTTTGTCACCCGATACAGCAAACCTTGTACCCATTTAAATCTTTCCTTGTCCATTCCTCCCATGTCGGTGTGTGCTTTAGTATGATCGGTGGTTAAGGTCGGATCTTCCCAAACTTCCTCCTGAATTCAGTGAGGGTATCCCAGATCAGTGGCAATCAGTCAAACCTGGGTCATCTCAGTGTAAGTTGGTAGCAGTCCAAACATGAAGTCTGGTGGTAACCATGTAGGCATCCTCAGTGGTGGCTGTGAATGCAGACATTAATTGACCCAGTAACAATTCAACTGGGAGATTATTTTTGACACCAGCTTTAATGTTGCATGCTCCAGCAACCAAACCAAATGAACATGGGCAGGGGGATAATTGGTATTTTGCTCCACCAGTTATTCACACGCCATGCTATTGCAAAGCCTGGACCCAATGGAGTAGTACCAGCACAAATATGGCCCCTGGGCAGGCTTCCCATTTAGCATTGCAGTCTTTTGATGGTGTGGAGGTTATTTACTGCACAGACCAGTTGCGCCTCATGCCCATTGCTGTGCTGTTTGTAATAGCACAGGGAACTTGGTAGACTTTGTTGGTTGGTTGGTTGGTTGGTTGAAGAAGGGGTCAGGGGAGTTAAACATTCTGTGCATGTTTGTTTGAGGAGTACTGAAGGATCAGCACAGGATCTTTTGCCTAAAATTAATGTTTGTCTCAAAGAAAATACAATTTAATCTATACAGTGTGTTAGCATATTTACCAACAAATCTGTAGATTGGCAGACAAACCTTTTTAACCCCTTAAGGACACATGACATGTGTGACATGTCACGATTCCCTTTTAGTCCAGAAGTTTGGTCCTTAAGGGGTTAAAATAGCTTTTTCACCCACCTGTCAGTCAATGCAGAATAATTTACCAATGGTAAAGCAAGAGAGACTGGTCCATATGAACTGCACAAATAGCAACAAGAGCACATGTAGGTCAGTGTCACAGGGGAGGTTTAGCATGCAGGTGTAAATGTTCCCAAGCAGGGTAAATCAAACAAGAAAGTGGATAAGGACTAGTGCTTATTTCCAAAAAAGATAGTTTTTGTACCAACATATGTGAGATACTCTAATATAATGAGCTGCTATACATTTGTGCGATTCCTTACTATATCACAAACCTAATATACAGACAAAAAAGAAAAGAATGTAGCACGTATACAGTAAATTAATTATCACCTTGTTTCAGTTAGGAGGAAAACTCTCACTTTAGAGTGAAACAGGATAAGGACTCCCCCCTTTAGTGTCACAAACAGATATCTACAAAAAAAATAATCAGACATAGCATAGATGGTATATAACAAGACAGAGTGTATAAATTTAGTGTATGTACACTCGCAAACGCAGAGCTATAGACCCAGCTCTGGTTTGAATCGTTTCTGGGTCTGTTTAGACGACCCGCCCCTACTCCTGATATATATCTTGTCCTGGAGGGGGAATAAAAGGCACAGACAATTGCGCAGTATTGCTGGAGAAATTAGAAGGCAAAATAGAAAATCCCAAATGGGTACTTACAAGCCAGGAGTCAAAGAAAATTACTCAATATATAAGCACTGTGCAGATTAGGGACTGCACTCCCATCTGTAAAAGATGAATTCTGGAACCAGGATAAAATAATATCAAATAAATTTATTGGAATACTATAAATTAAAAATAAAATGGTAAATGTCCAAAAACACCGGGACGCGTTTCGCCACTTGCAGCATGGCTTCTTCAACCGGATCGGTGAGCTTTTTTGACTAAATCAAACAGGAGACTGGGCAGACCAGAGGCTGGTGTTACAGAAGACACTTAAGGCACCCAGACTACTTCATTTTCCATGTAGTGCTACTATTGCTTTAAGCCTGCAATGCAAATGCAATTAAAAACTTTCCAGAGTTTTCACAACGGCAGACACCTTTGCTGGGTGTCTTCATGACAGCCACTGGAGATTCTTCCAATGAACGATAATTTATTAAATAACAGAGTCAGACACGTAGAGAGCACTAGCCTCCCAATGCTTTCATATGGGTGTGACAGAGTTAATAAATATTAAATCTCAGCCAGACAGTAAATAAAAGAAAGTTAAACCGGTTTTAAACCCTCAGACCTAAATAGGTAGGGAATTTGGTATACATGTTTGTATTCCTAATGCTATAGTCTTCCTTTAAGAGCAAGTCAAATTTAACAACTTTTATCATGAAAAATAAGCCAAGTCAGTGTTTTTGAGGGGGAGGCACATGTCAGACGACCACCTACATTTACACAAGTTTGTTAGATTAGAGTTTACATCTCAGAAGGTTAAAATAAAAAACTTTAGTCAACACAAATTAAAATACATGGATTATGAACAATGCAGGGTATCATTACATACACACACCAATACACTATAATTAAAACACATCCACGACATATGCATACACACACGCAAATTTATCAGTTAACCTTATTTTGTGTATCAAGGTAGATTACTATACATAATAAATGAAACAACAGCAGTTTTTACAAGAGCAATAAAAAAAATTAAATATTTATTTGAATAACAAGTTTGGAGTTTAAGCTGCAATGTTGGCAATGTCAATTTCAATTGTATTAGATCACAAACTCATGCACCAAAAGTAGGAAAGGAAAGAGCTACCAACTACTTAACAGCTGCTGATTTATAAAGAAAACAAAATATAAAGGCATGTAATCACTATACAAAATATAAAAATGTATGAAACACTATCAACCACAGAACAGAAAGGTTATTGATTATACTTAAAAAGTGTTTAAGTGTGTGCACATTTAGAATTACTGAATTTAAGTGACATCAGCAACCTTATTCTTTTGCTGCATGTGGCTTACAATAATATTGTACTCTTGCCACAAATAGATTCTCCTCTGCTACCAATAAGAAAACAAGAGTTAATGCGGTAAATATTGCAAGGGCTAAAGAAAACAAAGGAATCTTCAACAGAAGTGCTTTTAGCATAGTGAACGCCCCAAATACTCTTCAATGCTGATTATACAGAAATATTGTATAGTCAACAGTGATCAGATTAAGGAATGCGCTAAGCAATATAACTTGTGGAGGGTACAAGGCATTTAGTGCCCCTGCCTAAATAAACAAGTCATATTTTAAGAGGAATCATGCACCCTCCGATGTCGGAAACCCACATCTGATTTATTGCCTCTCCATTAGAACTTCCAAAAAGGCATCCAACATTGTCAGACGAATAATGATAAATACACATATAAATGAAGACACTAACTGCTTATTTGACACTACTAATGGCAATGTCTGTGCTGAGTGAAAGCACCTTTAAAAAAGAGCCTACGCGGCGAGAGATAAGTGTCTATAGATTCAAAATGAATCAACTGTATCGGATAACAATATCATTCTTCAACTTAGAAGCTGCCTCAAGATTAGGTGCATCTTCAGTTAATGTAACAGAAAAAAAAAACACACCTCTCCCCCAACCCCCCCCCCAAAAAAACCAAGGCAAATGGATTTTTATTTATTAAATCATACCCATTCTAAAGTGACCGAAGGCCGCAAAATGGGCAGACACAATGATATATATTTATATATATATATTTTTCTTTACAATTATTTAAATTGTATGATGGTAAGGAGTAGGGTCTATTTAAAAACAGAAAAACAAAAAAAAGCTATATTAGCCTAGATTAAGAGGTGGCACCAGGTGTTGGGTTTACATTTTGCGTGGCCACTTGAGGGGCAACTTCTATGATTCGTGGCTTGTCTATGATTCTGGCAGTACGATTGCCTTTTTCTACAATGCCGATAATCCATGCTTGATGACCCTCTCCATACTTCGGTGACTTTATCTCGGCACAGAAACGTGCAGCTTGCTCTCGCGGCAAACAGATGAGGAGACCTCCTGTAATAAAAATAGAACAGCACTTGTTACATTCAAGCGGTTAAGCAATTAAAGACTTTGCTGAGTTTCTGGAGAACCACATGGAACAGCCATAAACCTTTAGATATATTTTCAGGAACTATGAAAACTCAAAATAAAAATGATACCAAATTCTCAATACTAGCAATTCCAGAGAATAATAGCTTCTGGCTCTCAGCAAGGATACATATGGGTTAGTATACGTATGTGTGAGTAGATGTAAAAAAAAAAAAAACAATTTGTATAATACCTTTTTTTATTCGACTAACAATTTTTTAATGACAAGCTTTCAGTAGAACCTCCCTTTCTCAAGTCTAAAGCATTTCTGAGCAAGACAACCCATAGAATTCAAAGTTGAGTTGTAATACAGGGGGTTAAAGCGATATGAGTGCAGATAAGACACAGGTTTGATTGTAAACAGACACCATTCTCACAGAGGGTCGTAAATATCTTGTGTAAAGAACAGAGTGAGGGAAGAGAGAGAGAGAGAGAAAAACAGTGCAGAAGATGGTGCTAGAAGGGAAGAGTAAAAACAAAATAATTACTAATAATAAGAATGCATGAATTCCCATCCAAGAAGGATTATATCCAGCATGCATACATACATACGCATACATACATACACACACACACACACACACACACACACAAACATATACACAAGTAGTGTATATGTACAAGTATACACATCTAGTATAAGTATATACACAACAATATACATCTAAATACAACCAAATACCCAAATATATGTACATGCACACCTACACATACATCCACACACAAGCACCAATACATAAATAGACCCATATATATGTACACATATGTATATGCATACACATAAACACAAACACATACATACATACATACATGCACATGAACTCATACACAAATATAAATGCACAGTCACATATATAAGCATACATGCACAAGAGTATGGGAAATCATAGGTCTACACATAGTACTTTGTATATTGATAGAATAAATATACTGGAATGAGTTTTAAGGTTTTGATACATATGACAGAACAGTAAAATAATGTGGGGGTGTGTTCATTTAAAGTGTTGGTAGTGGGACAGGAAACCCAAATCAATATTTAGTCCACTATGCTTGTTGTTAAACAATTGGATCATTCTGGCTTCAAAAGCTTTTCTTTCTTGGGTATTTTTAAAACCTCCTCTCAGAACTTTGAAGTCCTTCATTGAGTGGCCAGGCTGGGTAAAGCAGTGTCCCACAGGAGTGCAGTAGGATTCTTCTTTGTAGTGTTTAATAGAGTGTCTGTGCTTATTCATTCTGCCATTTAATGGCTGGGTGGTTTCCCCAATGTAGCATCCTAGGTGGCATTTGTTGCATTGAATCAAGTATACCACATTGCTGCATGTGCAGGAGTATGAACCTTTAATGCCGTAGGTTTTATTGTTGTGTGTGGCTGTGTTGTCTGTGCTGGCACAGTTTGCAGCGAGGTTTTTTGCATTGACTGGTCCCATTTTCTTTATGTGTGAATATATATATATATATATATATATATATATATATATATATATATATATATATATATATATATATATATATATATATATATATAATACAATGTTAAACAAAAATCTGCACACCAGTCAAGCCACAAGACTTGCTTTTCCCACAGAAATCCCAAATCTGCAGTGATGTTATAACCGCAAAGGATTCTGGGTGGGCATATGCAAATTAGTTTAACAAAGAATAAAATTTTTGCCTCATTCCATTTTAAACATGGATTCCTTTTAATCTGTGTTCGTAGTATACAACTGCTTGGAACACAATTTAGGAAAAATATGCAAAACCAGTGAACCACTCATGGACAGCTGTTTCGTTGTTAATGCAACTCTTCAGCATGAGGTTGGTTACTGGTTTGCTTATTGAGGCTTGGCAGTGCTTGGGAAGCAAAATCCAAATAGGTTATGGTGGGCAAAAATGTGATTCTTTGTTAAACTAATTTGCATATGCCCACCCAGAATCCTTTGCAGTTGTAACATCACTGCAGATTTGGGATTTCTTATGGCTTGACTGGTGTGAAGATTTTTGTTTAACATTGTATTAACTATCCATAGACTTCAGGTGGAAGGGGTTTTCAATCACAATTTTTCCCCACCATAACCTATTTGGATAGAAATGATATTATATATATATATATATATATATATATATATATATATATATATATATATATATATATATATAAATAATGGAAGCTGGAATTGTAGAGGTAGCTGTACATGTATGTGGGCTTTCTGTACACAGATGAATGAATATGAAATCGCATATTTGTATAAAAAATAGATAGAGACACTCACCCCATATACATGCACTATAGAGACTAACTAAAGGATCCTGTCATTTACTAAAAAGTACGCATAAGTATCATTCCGTAAAACCCAGTCACATGACTATAGAAAACCATGGATTCAGTGTTATCCTATGGGAAAGCGAATGTGTGCTCGGCAATTGCCGTACACGTGCTTTAGGTCCCTGATGCTCCTTTAAGAGGCCATGCCTACTCCACGATGTTGCGGAAGGCAGAGAGCTCAGCCAAGAAAGCCTTTCCAGAAACTATTGGCACTTACTTTGGCCGTATTGTACTATAATATTGTTACATTAACAAACTATGATTGGATGTTACGTCTGTTTTCTATATGCCTCAATAAAACACATGACAAAAAAAACAAACCTAAAATAATAAAAAATATATATGAAAAAATTAAAATATTACTATGCATTTCAAAATTGTTGCACCTTAGACACATTTCATCTTCATTACAAAAAGGATACAGCTTTGATGGCCTAATTGGGTTTCATATAAATACACACACACAAAAATAAATAAAAATAAAAAAATGAATATGAATATAAATCTAGTCACAATAATGTGTCTTGCAATGACACATACAGGCACATTCTGGGCACCCACAGACACTGTCCTCATTATTTGCTTCCTTTCAACTGAAACAGACGAACCAGTCAAAACAAATTTTTGCACAAATCAACTGTATACTACTATTTCAAATTCATTTTTATCCATGCCCAAATTTAACGTATCCAGGATTTGCTTGTGGAGTTTATTCAAGTCTCCATTACAGATAATAAGGCAGTAATTGGTTGTGGAGTGGAGTCAAGTCAGCATCTCAAATCACAACGATTTTTCATTGGCTAAGCTACACGGTTTACTGCCCAATCAGGGTGAAAAGGGAAGGTATGGCCACGTTATGGCTATTTTTTCTAAGAAGCATTAGAGATATTTGAATGTGGAGAAAAAAAAAAAAACAAGAAGAAATATTAAAGTTACACTCTGGGGCACTAACACAACTTGAGTATTCAGCATTTCCCTGGCTTCCAGTGGGTACAAAACACACAAAAATAAATAAAATGATAGGGGCACTGAGAAATGGATTTAAAAAACAAAAAACAAACTGGGCAGATAGGGTGAGAGTTTTAAAATTAAAAAATACTGCTCCTTAAAGCAGCAGTTTCTAGTATTAGTGGGCCACTAGCATGTCAGTAAAGAAACAAAAATAAATAAATATTTCTACTGGATTTCACAGAAAAAGAAGACAAATATAATCTGCATGTTTAAACATAAAAAAAATTCCCATGACATTGAGTTTCCAGAAACAAAAAAGTTTTTAATAAATCTTTGATGTCCTCAAAAAATAAATAAAATGATAAGGGTGGTTTAAGTTGGTATTTTTCGAATTCTTGGCCTGTTGCACTGCACAAATTAGCTTCATGGAGGGTTCCAAACAACAGGGTCTGAGGTTTGATTTTGCAAGCTAGTGACTCTCACCTGATGTTTCAGGACAGGATCCATGCATGAGTCCAAACATATTCCCACAGGCCTTACTCACAGCAGCCATCTTGGCTAAAACTGGCAAGTTATGGATAACAAAGGAAACCTCATTTCGTTGCTGTTTGGCCAAATTCTGTGCGTGTCCTAGAATTCCAAACCCTGTTATATCAGTAGCAGCATGTGCATTAAATGTGTGCATGAGTCCAGCCGCTGAAAAGACAAAACAGAAAAAAAAAAAAAAAAACATAACAAAATTAGCAAAACGTTCTGCCAGGAGAGGACAAACACACACTATACAAATTTTTTTTTTACATTTTTTGTTAAATATTTTAGTCCATTATATATGGACTAAATAGTCCATTATAGCCAAAAATCATATACCGAATTTGACACTACCTAGCAACTGGTGTTAAAGAGACCATTTAAGTAGATCACTTAATAAAAAAATAAAAATTCTATTTAAAAAACGAGAAAGTTACAGCCAGGGTATGTGTGACTACGGCTAAATAAAGTTATTTAACGCCTAAATAGTAGAGAATTGAACAATGAGACTACAGGGGCATGATCTATTTACTAAAACTGCTTCATTAAAAGGAACACAACAATGTCAAGAATAAAACATGAGTCCCTAACCATATAGTGCTAACCTGTTTATCTCTCCAGCCCCCCATATAATTATGTAAAGGTTTTAACTATACCTTTTCTCCAACAATGGTATTGTGGTTGCTGGCCCTGCCTACATGGCTGAGATCAATCAATCATGATCTCAGCCAAAGTAATGCTATTCCATAAAAAAAAAATTATCGGGAGGCTACTGTGCATATGAAGTAAAACGCTACGCTGCGCCAATCAGCATTTCCTCTCAGATATGCATTGAATCAATGCATCTTAATGGGGAATGTTCAGTGTCTCCGCGCAGAGCACTGGACTAGGAAGCACCTCTAGTAGCCATTTGAGTGACTGCCACTAGAGGCATTTCTGAAAAGGCAGAGTTTACATTTAAAAAGCCGCCTTCTACATAGGCTATAGTAACCATAACCATAACATTAAGCTGTGCTGTTGTGTAGTGTAGAACTGGTGACTATAGTTGTTTTATTACTTGGCGTCAATGAAGAAACATTAACACCTATCAAATGCATTAAGCTGTATTGGTGCCCATAGTGTTTTATTAAAATAATAAAAAAATAAAAAATAAAAAAACCCTTGAAAGTGTGCACTGGTATCATAAAAATGCATTTCCACAGATTCAATTCTTTGTTTTTAGCATTTTTGTAGTGGCCTACCCGCAGGTAGCTTGGATGTCGCCACCTTTTATACCTGGGTGCCCAACAGGGGGTCACCAGGAGAACAATAGACATTGCACAATACGTGGCACCTAGGTGTCTGCCCCACTAATAAAATTATCTGGGTAAAGATAAAGATACCTTGGGGCCGAATAACATTTTCATACAAAACATGGGTTCCTGTGCCCATACCGCCAAACTAGTGCCACCCCTGCGTAGCACTTCCCTGAGCACCCATACTGCCAAAAAAGCACTCGGATTAGAGGTGTCTAGCAAGAATAGTTTGGATGTTAAGTTTTGACTAGGCCGCGAACATCCTCCGATCCCGCGAGGAGTTCAATAGGGCTGGGTGGGATGTTCTGGTCACCCTTCTGTTGGTACCTGGAGCTCCCTCGAGTCCTTGGTATTGTTTGATGCCTCACCAACTCCTCTCTCGCCCCTCCAAATAGAGCCTTGTTTGGTGACCCTGGGACCAAGAGCGATCTTGAGGTAAATTTTACCTGATCACGGTAGCTTTGTGATCCAATTAGGAGTTCCAGGACTTTTGTGAGTTGCTCCTGGTCAGGTGCACCATGTCTGAGAGTTCCATCCCGGTCTCTGATGTCTCCTGGGCCATTGAAAAGGGTGCTATGCTTGGAGGCACAGTCTGGAGGGGCATAAGTGGGTGATTATAGTCCTTTTAGGGGAATGTGGTGGTTAGGAGGCAGGTACAAGTCCTAGGTGACCAGGTGTTCTGTCACAGTTTTCAGCTAATAAAATCACAGGCTTTGAAACAGGTTTATAACACCTACCTTTTAATAAATATAAATATCCCCATTGCTTTTAGAAAGAATGGTCAAATGTATATCTTCAAGAATTACCTGTTCGATTTAGCCTTGCCATGTTCATCATTGCCTCTTGATATGCCAGCTCTACATCTTCCTGGGTTACCACCAACTTAATTTTATTCCATTTTTCTGGCTGGTATTGCAAAAGAGAAGAGAACAAAGTAAGAAATTAGTATTTAAGAATGCAAATAAATAAATGGAAAATAAATACACCACTAATCTATTCTTTGTGGTAAACAAAAAAACAAACAAACCAAAAAAAAAAAAAAAATCCCAAACCCCCTCCTCCCCCACCAAAAAAACCACATTTGTTACCAGTATGATGAAAAATGGCCAAAATGGTTCAAAAGTGATTTATTTTTTCCCATCTACCTCAAGCTGTAGCAGACAATGAGATCTGGTCAGAGGAAGTTCCTGCGTCAAAGGCATTTACATATGTTCCAGCAATTCTATGTGGAACTTCTACCACTAGCTCTCCTTGATAACCCATGACATACAGGTCTGAAATTCAGCACTGCACAGAGCACATTAAAAATCTATGGAGCACATGGTGGCTGAGAGATCATGTTCAACCAGTGAGATGCTCTGTGTGATGCATGCTTGTGGGTCTTCCTCCAGGTCTTTGTTGCCGAGCACTGATCACAGTGTAAAGGTATCAACATTTTCAGTATGATAGCAAAAAACTGGTATGTTGCTGCCATCTACTGGCTGTTTTTCAGCATGACATGAGATATAGCACTAATAATTCCCTATATAATATCTCCTTGGGATTATGATTAGCTTTAGGATAAGTATTCGGTTTAGCATTACATTTATGTTTAGGATAATTAATATAATGATTAGTTCCAGATTAGGGTTTATTGGGACCAAGGACAGCAAAGGAATCTCTCTGATGATTTCACCATTGCTTCTATTAAGATTAAAATTAGGCATAGGATTATGGTACGGGTTACAAGATGGATGAGGTTTATGATAAAGATTTGATTAGAATTAGGGATAGGATTAAGATGGCTACTTTGAAAAGTTATACATATTATTGGCATCTGTATAGCGCCAACCTATTCAGCAGAGCTTTACAGTATTATAAAAAGGGGGAAGTTTAAAAACAAATTAGACCATTACAAAATGTTGCAGGAACAATAGGTTGCTGAGCACCCGTCAAACGTACGTACAGTCTAGACGTGGGGTATTGTACTCAGGGCATATTGCTGTGCAAGACAAACTCAGAGGAGTTAGAAGAGAATACTTTGGAGGATGGCACGTATTAGAGTTGCCAAATACCCATCAAAAATGTAATGTATTCTGTAAATGCAAAAAAAAGTAAATAAAATAAATATGTACCGGAAAAGTCAACATATGGCAATATGAGAGCAAGTTAATGCACAACATACGCCATACAAGATACCCTGGAGCGTCTACTTTTAGAAATGGTAGGTCTTTGGGGGGTAATTTGAACAGTCAAACCACTATAATGCACAATATTAGACAGACCGATCAAATCCATCTATCAAAATTCTAAAACTGTAAAAACTGAAATGGTCAGGTCTCTTATATGGCACTGGAGCTTCAAATGATAGTGACAAAGGCATACATTGTACTGTTTTACTCAAAAAAGGTAGCTGAACATAATAAAAAAAGTGATGGCTTTTGAGCTTCGAAGACAAGCCTATCAAATTCAAAAATTGCTTTACATTTTATATTACTCCAAGTACTTTGTGAATGGTAACTACCAAAAATAAACTAAAATTCTGGACATGACATGCTCAGTAAAGAAGGACATGATACAATTAATTTTGAATTACTTTTTGTTTATAATGAGTGAGAATTTATATATGTATAGGTCACATCAAATTGAAACCCCCTTTGTCCATAATAATAAAAAAAATAAAAAAATAAAAAATAAAGGGGCAAAGCTTACCTGCCATCCTGAGCGGACACCATCTCGGCTAGCTTTCCCACAACCTGCAGCCATCCAGCTCCCACATAATCCTAAATGCCAACAAAGCTGTCCGATGTCCTTCTTTAGGCTCTGAAGCAGCCCAGGCGGCGGTGGAAGGCAACAGCCTACCACACATTACCACTTCTAGGCTTTAAGTCCCTACTCGGCGGACCGGGGGAGGCGCGAGCCATGGCTGAGCAATATCTGCCTAGCACTCCATCCGAAACACCTAACATGAGCACGCAAAAAGCCTGTAACCACCACAACCGGTAGGGACATAGGGGAGATGCTGAAAAAAACACAGCGCAAACTGGGCCTGCAAGGGCAGAGCACCCATCGGAGCCCATTGCAGCCTCTGGCCTGGACTGCCAGGAGCCCAGCACCTTAGAGATCCTCCAGGCAGACCCAGCCTTAGCTGCAAGTTCCCCCGACGACAAAGCCCCAACAACCAAAACGTGATCTCGAAATCCTCCTTGCTGACATACAAAAGCTGTTGGCAGCCAACGTCGCACTGGTTAAAATGGACATACAACAGGTTACAGACCGTGTCAAACATAAAGAGGACACTATGACAGAAGTCCAAACCACGGTGACCAACCTCCAGGACTTGGTGCTGCACCTCCAATCTGAGCAACACATGCTGGCCACCCAAATAATTTCCACGAAGGACCGGCAGAGCAGAATGCACATCAAAATACAGGGGATACCCACCACGGTCTCAATCGAAGCTGCCAGGTGCTTGCTTTCTACAACTGCCACCAGCAACAACCAAGAAAGTTATCTTAGACTGGATATACAGTTTAACTGGCACTGCATGCACTCAAACTGCAGTGGCTAGGGATGTCATACTGGTCTGTGTGACTGTAAATGACAAGATCCAAATCATGATGGCCCTGAAAGACAAGAGACCTTTGAGAACTCCCAGCTGTTGTTCTTTCAAGACCTTACCAGAGCCACCGTACTCTGGCGCAAGTCCTTTAGACTGGTGACAGCCTCACTGAGACAAGCGTGAATACCCTACAGATGGGGGCTCCCTGGCTCTCTCTTGGTCCAATGTGAGGGGACTGCTTACTCCCTTATGGCAAGGTCAGAGGCCTTTCTGGAAGTACTGGGACTGCTTCTACCACAACCATTGTCAAAAAAGGGATCTCTAGTTTGAGATTAACCAAAGTTTCTACTCAGCACCCACGGGCTCTCCCCATCTTATTGAAAAGGCTGAATTAACACTGCAGCATTAATAAGGCCACTCTAGACAACAATTGGTTGACAATGCTGGCAAAATGGACGCTGACAATACAGAAGTGTTAATTCTGCATTATCAATGTAGTTTAGTTGTAGTCCTCTTTCAAAAGAAATAAGTATTTTTATGAAAATATAAAATGAAACTTATTTACAGACCAATTGACCATGCACTCAGCCTACTTGAATAGATAAAAACCTACCTCTAACAATTGGCTGCAAGCCGGGCCGGTGCAAGAATTTTTGGCTACATAGGCGAAGATGCATTTTGTCCCGCACCCAAAAAATGTGATATTTACTTGTGTTAGTAATGCCCTTTTTGGATTTCTTACCCCTTTAGGAGGTCTTACAACCCCCCTTGTGTATCTCCTACTTCCCCCACCCATTTGTGTGTCTCTTTCTTTCCCTTAGCCCTTTTCTGTGAATCGTTCTCTCCAAATACCCAGTTTTATTTGTCTCCCCCCATCCCCCAGGGCCCTTTGTGTGTCTTTTTCCTGCAACACACAATCATACAGGCACACAGCCACAAAGATAGGCAATCACACAATCAAACAAACAGTCCACAGGGGCTGTAGAGGGAGACTCAGAGGTTGTAGAGAAAGGCTGCATAAAAAACAATAAACATGTGCAATTCATTTCGTTCCGAATGTACGAAGTTCGAATTGTCGAATTTCCGAAGTGCCCAAGTGGTTTAGGGTCCGAATTACCAAAGTTACAAATTGCTGAAGTGGGTTAGAGTTAGGGTCCAAATTCCCTAAGTTCTGAATTCCGGAAGTGCTGAACCGAACGCTATTGGTCCGAATTATCAAAGCAGACAAAAAAAAAAATTTCTTACGCGAATTTCTGAACTGAACCAAATTTTTTGCCCATGCACATCCCTAAAAAAACTAAAGTTTTGATTAAAAATAATTAAAACCAAAACACTAAAAAATGTACTCCCCTTCCCTAGAAACGTACCTTGGGCCGGGGGGGGAGGGGGGGGAGAGAACCTTATCACTGGTGGTCGGGCAGCCAGCAGGGAGAGCCAGGTAGGCTGCAGTTATTGGAAAAAAATCTGAGGCAAGGGATTTGCAATTTTGCCCCCTCCCACCCCCAACTGCTTTGGTGCCCTAAGTCCTGTCAAAACTAAAAAAAAATTTTTTTACTGAAAAGGTTCTTCAGACTGAGATGGTGCATTAGAACCACTTAAAACGTACTTACAATATCTAGCCATTGATGGACAGCTACAGCCACTTGGGTTCCTAAAGGTTTGGTCAGCACAAGAACGTCTCCTGGTACAGCATTGTCTGGCCTGTACAGATACAAAAGACAGACCTGATAAAATGCATGCACAAATATTCACATTCAGTGCTGATGTTTTGCTGGAGAGATCAGAGACCTGTATTACTCTGCCCTCTACTGGAAGTTTAAAATTACATTTCAGAATTTTGTCATTTTTTCCCCTTTCCTTTTTTTATATGCAAGTATTAAGGGAGCACATTGTGTATGTTCTGGCCAATGGCAGCCAACATGCAGAACTACAACACCCACCATGATTACCATTATGGTTTGAATACTATACGCATTTATGAATGCTATGAATACATATAATCAGATCATTTTGGCTGTTATCTATAAAACATGTAAATAGTGGAATGACCACCAATTAAATAAAGTCAACGGATCATTCTCAATGCATTCAGGTGCATGAATAACATGATAAATGATAAAAAAAATATATATAATACAATTAAAGAACACACACTGACATGACCGCAGCAGTAAGGATTACAATGACATTGCTTCCCTATTTAACTCTGATCTCTCTGTCCCTCATGTCCCCGCTTTTTCTAAGAGCTCCATAATGCCGGTGTGAATAACATAGCTCCATTGCAATAATGTTTACAGCAATTTGACTTTAAACTACAATGTGTTTAGAAAACTGTCTTTTTAAGTAAAATGTGTTCTTTTCGTTGCATAAATTGTTATTAGTAAGTCACCTAAAATTTCCCTGAAAAGCTCTGTTATTGGTCACACCACTATAGTGTCACTCTTTGTCCATTTGAAATATTGAGAGGCACACAATTAGGTTTACTTTCATCTACAGGAAAATACATTTATATGGACTATTTTGTTGGGAAACCAGAAGTGTACAGGACAAGAAAGTCAACTGACATTTTGAAAGAGGACACTTTGCTAGTCAAATTACTTCAGATGATCAGTATTAGAATGTGTTTTTGTATAGAACACAATCTCCCTACTTTTCTCCTTTATCGCCTATTGATAAAGATGATATTTTATCTTCCCATCACTCATCTCCTTACACATAATAATGTGAGCTAAATAAAATGTTCTAACCCTGAATAAAAATGCCTGACTATCTTCTTGTGCGTTACACAAGAACCACATACTGACACAACTCACTCTCACCTGTAGCCCAGTTTCCCCAACTACACTACATTCAATTCAAAGTACACTGTGCAGTTTTGTTACTGCTTATTGAGATAATAAGGAATACTGTTCGTTAGGAAACTCACATAATTTAGCTAAATTTAAACTTACATGATGAATTCATTCGGCTGACATACTGTTGTGGCCACACCACCTAGTACTACCCATGGATTCAGAACAGTTTGACCCCCTGTAACCGATGTGCCCGCTTCCTCTGCTGCATCCTTGAAGCCTTGGATGATAAGAGGCATCACCTTGTCTCTCTCCTATAGTATGAAATAAAGCACCATTGAAATTTAAAATATCAAAGATATCAGGATAAATTTCTTGAGACTGCATGGTGCAACACTAGATTATATTTTACGATCATGGAATTTTCACACACCTTGAAGCAGACAAGTAGGCATAATGTGCACATAAAACCATGTCTGCATCTCTCTCTGTGTGAAAAATACCCTATCCTGTTGATAAAGCAGACTAGTAGCCAATACATCATGGAGTGCAAGAATTACTACCATAGTTTAGTTTATTGCCAATGTAACAAATACCAGTTTTTTTATTTTAATTTTCTAGAATTAGTTTATTTATGGATTTTATAGTCTCAGAATACACGTGTGCTCCCCATACCACCATGTCCTCAATTTGGAGAAATATATATAAAACTCATTAATTTAACTGAAAACCTACCCGATCAGTAAGTTTATTACTGACACCGAGAAGCATCAACATGTTGTCACATTCGGTAACCCCCATTGCATATAGGTCACTTAAAACATTTGCACAGGCTATTCGTCCCTGAGGGGGGAAAAAAAAAACAAAAACAATTTATTGACCATTTTACATTACACACATAATACACTGCGTAGCGGTGTGGCTGATGCACAGATTAATTAACTGGTTGATAACACCTGCAATTAAGTTGTTTAAAGATGAAAGGTCACTTGGATATTGAATATGCTAAAATAATTGTAGCAGAATGAACCTTGGACTGTCTGTATCTTGTCCCCCCTGTTATTTCCTATGTTTCGCACTCATAGGCCCTGGATCATCTTGTTCTTTCCCCTGTTCGTCTGGCCATTCGGTAAAATAGCAGTCACCTTGCATATTAACAACATCTTATTCGACAACCAAACAAAATTACTGAACTCCAGTAACCTCTGTTCACACCTCCACCAACCGCAATAACCTGAACATTCAAAGCGGTCGGCCGGGTGGCCGCCGTTTGTATGCGGTGGCGGCCATCTTTAGCCACGAACAGAGACAGCGGTGTTTGGCCGTCGAGCGCATGGAACTAAAACTGGACACTCAACAACGCAAACACCGCCGGGTTTTCATTATGTTCATGGGGATTCAGAAGAACAGAGTGGCGTTCGGGGGTAGCAAACTCCCGAACAAGATACACAGAACAAATGTCTATACAAACAGTTTCTGCCTTGTCTTGCACATATTTGATACTCCTGAAAGAGACTGACGGCACAGCTTAATTTCATGGAACCTTTTTGGGCAGGCATCTCATGTGTGGTCAGTCTAAACTATACCCCGCTGGCGTTTCAGCTGCGTTCGTGGGATCTGAGCGCTTTTCGTATATGTCCCTATCTGGGGATATAGGACTTAAAGGGCATCTTGTGGATAACTGTATGTTTTGGGGTGATTATTGTTATACCTGTCCTGGACCGGAGAGGTAATGTAATTATGTTGTGTATTTTGTCTCAGTCTACTCTCAGGTCCAGTGGGAAATGTGCATTTGGAAACCCCTTGCATGGGGATTTTCATAAAAGGCAGTGTGTGGCTCCATTAAAATCAATTATACCGCCAGAGCGGAGTGTCGTCCAGTTGCTGGGGAGGAGGTGGGAGATTCCTGGAGTATTTTTACGGTGTTTGGCTGTTCCCTTGGAGTATTCTACTTGCTCCCGAGTGTGGGTTGGAGAAACCAGCAGAGCAGAGTCCCTGCTAGGACTAAGGCTCCGCTACAATAATTTTAACATTTTTAATAGATTATTTTTACATGTAAATTTTAGAATTTAAAAGATTTTACCAACAACACCAAAGTACATACATCTGGTCTTTGCAGTGCTTTACTCACTGCGCATGCACATCACTGCTGCGGAAAATAAACAAGCACAGATATAGAATTTCTGTTAGATAATCGAGCATGCATGAGCATGCCAAAGGCATTATGTGTCCCTGTGACAGTTCCTCTTGAGAAGAATACTTTAAGCACCAAAACAACTTTAGCTTAATGATGCAGTCTTAGTGTATAAATCATGTACCTGCCGCCTCGCTGCTCAATCCTCCGCCAATTAGGAATTATATCACTATGTTTTTATATCACTCCCCTGACCATAACTTACAGAGCCCACATGAAAAAAAGGCTTTGGTTTTAATTAGAATAGTGTATTTACTACTTTAGAGACACACACACACACACACACCGCACAAGTCACATACAACCACCACACACACACACCATGTAGATCCAACACAAATATATCATAGAATCAGCACAGACAAACCAAATACAGGTAACAAACACACTCTTCAGCCGCTTACCTGAATCCAGCGTCGATGTCTCTTGGCACTTTGTCAGGCTCCGCCCACGCTCCTCCTCCACCGATGTCATCCAGCAGGGAAACCTATTGTGCATGCACTGCAATGGCCGCGTGCATTAGACAGGAAAATATGACAATGCTTCCCTATGGGGAACATCTAATGCTGGAGGTCCTCATTCAGAGCATGAGGACGTCCAGCGTCAGATAACGGACCAAAAGCCCACTTGGATTCCGGAAGCGCCCCCAGTGGCTGTCTAGTAGACAGCCACAGAGGGCAGACTTAGAGCTGCAATGTAAACATTGCAGTACTAGGTGCAAAAGGGACACAGCACCCAGACCACTTCAATGAGCTGAAGTGGTCTGGGTGCCTACAGTGTCCCTTTAAGCAAAGCATCCTAATCATTACAGCTTGCTGTAGTGGTTATTACGCAAGAAGTATCTGGACACCATTCCCAGGAAGGAGGGCAAACCGATTTGCTCCTTACCTGGGAACGACATTCAGCTTCTGCTCAGCTACAAAAGCCAGACACCAAACCTACCATTCATTCACTGGTTGAGAGCATCAGCTGTGAACTCACAGCCAGTGAATTAACCACCGGGCATGGAATATGCACATGATTAACATTAGTAAGCCCAGAACGCCTTGTTACTGTCTGGAAAATTAAACCTGCCACAGGTGGAGTTACACCTCCAGCAGCAACACAAAATAGCTCTGTGTGTGTAGTGTTTCATACTGAAACAATGCACACATTGGGTCTTTAAGCATGTTAATTTTTTTTTATTTATTTTTTTACATTATTTTATCGTGCAAGAGTGTACAAGCATACTTGTGATGCCATAACAACATGGACAAGCGCAAAAGTTTTTTTTGTTTTTAAATTCTTTATTTTTCACGTGCACAAGGTGACATAACCAGCTTGAAACGCCACAACAGCTGTGTCAAGCGCATTAACAACAATCGTTTTATGTTCATACTGTGGTTTCGTATATAAACTGCACATTTTATATTTAATTATTGTTAGCCTTGAGGACATTCTCAGTCTTGTTTCGTATAGTAGGTAATAGTTAGTGTGGTGTTTAAGCTAGAGCGTGTGCGCTCTTCTAGCCTCTTGTGTGTTCGTTAGTGAAGTGTCTGTGGAGAGCATGGTTTTGCGCGTGTCTAGCATGTCTGGTCTGTCGATGGGAGGTTTGTGATAAACGCATGTCTGAGAGGGTCAGGTGGCTAGTAGCCTGTTGTGTAGGTCGCTATCCCTTGTTACCCCGGGGGGGGGGCTGGAGAGGCGTTTGTTGGCCTGGTCTCTGTGGTGGGTCTGACCTCTGTGGTAGGTCTGCATTATATACTAAGTGCTCTGGTGTGAAATGCTGTGGATACTGTGTGTTTTGGTCTGAGGCCTGAGATTGTGTGTCTACACTGGGGATAGGAAGTAAAAGGCAAGCCTAAAAAAAACAAAAAAAAAAAAACAACAAAAAAAAACAACATAAAAAACAACAACAGATAGCTGTAGTCTGAGTTCGTAAGTGTTTTGCCGTTCGCCATCACGGCCGTCGATTATAGGAGTTATCCTTTAGCGTTCGAGTAGTCACTGCCGGGTCCTGGCTGCGGCTGGCGGAGGGTCGGGAGAGTAGTGGCCACCTGTGGAGGACCTCGCTTGGGGTGATGGGCGGTGTGCCGAATGTCCCGATTTTGGGGTCGTGTCTACCTCCGGATGTTGAGGTAAGTCTCGGGGTGAGTGTGGGTGTTCTGAGGTCCGGAAACCTCCTCAGTCGTTGGGGGTTCGAGCGGGGAAGTGGGTACCACTTCTGGTTGACCAGCTTGTGTGGGAAGATGGTCTAGGTCGCATTTTTTCAGTTCAGATGGTGGTGGTTGCAGCTTGTGGTTTGCCCCTTCCCTGTGGGACAAATGGAGTTATCTTGGCCAGGTCCCAGCGGTGTGTTACCCCAGGGTTCCCCGGGGCTTCCCTCTCATGCAGCTCCGCTGGTGGCAGTCCCAGTGAAGGCAGAAGTGCCTGTGCGCTCTGGAGGTCTGAGACGAGATGAACGATGTTCTTATGCAGTACCTGTAGTGCGCGCTGTGGACGCCAGCGGTATGTAATTTGGTGCGTCCGGAGCAGAGCGGTGAATGGTTGAAGGGTCTTGCGCCATTGTAATGTTGCCCCCGACAGGTCGGTGTAGAAGGACAAGTCCATATTTTCAAATCTATAGGTGGCTGAGCCTTTTAAGGCTGCGAGGAGCGCCATTTTATCCGCTGTGCTCCGAAATCTCACCACGAGGTCTCGGGGTGCCACTTCTGGCGCCCTCCGGGGTTTAGGGATCCGGAAGGCCGCCTCTATGACGTTGTATTTGACCTGTTTGGTGGGTATTAGGTTTCCCACGAGTCTCCTCACGAAGTGTGGGAGTTCTTCTGTGGGGACTTCCTCCGCAACTCCTCGCACTTTCAGGTTATTGCGTCTCCTGGAGTCTTCTAGCGCTGCAAAGCGGTGTTCCGTTTTGGCTTGCTGTTGTTTAAGAGCACTTATCTCTTGCTTGAGCTCCGCTAGTTCGTGCGAGTGTTGTGTGGCTGTGAGTTCTGCTGCATCTATGCGGCCGACCAGGCCTGTGAGGTCCGCCCGCAGTAGTGCTACATCTGTCTGTAAGGCCTTCTGTAGGTCCCCCAGCATAATTTTCAGCAGAGATGCCGTGACAGGTTCAGAGTCTCCCGGGTTCTTGTTCGGTTGTGGCTGCCTGCCAGTGGGTAAGTTGTTGACGGTTTCCTCTGGGTAGAAGTCCCCAGAGGAGTCAGAGAATTCCTCGAACTCGGCAGCCATATTGGGTCCGCACGCGCCTTTTGCCTGACGGAATAAGTCGCCTATGGTGGATCCTGTTTTGGGTCGATCTGGTTTCAGTTTTTTTGTTTTTCTTCCCATTGTTGTTGTGGGCAGTTATATCTTTGGATCTGAAGTTAGTATCCCCTAAATCCGTTGGTTTTCGTTGTTTGGCCTCGGAGCCTCTCTAGTATGCGACCGCTCTGTTCCACCATCAAGCTCCGCCCCCCAAGCGCAAAAGTTATGTACATGAAAATACAGTGCCATGGCTTGACATAATGTACATTTTAAGATAACAGTAAACATAAGAGACAAACAAGTAAACACAGGCTAAACCAACATGTCTGTACAATATTCAGGTGCTTTGCGTTTTAACAGAGCAGGCTAGCCAGTCATGGATATACAATAGCATGCATAAATATAAAACAATGGTGTAAAGATTAAATGAAAAAGAATTAGTTGCTGGGCTATATAGCTAAAAATGCTATTCTATGTGGTAGACAAAGTAAACTGGCTTAAGACTTGCTATCTAGTATTGGAAATTGCGACATGTTGCTGAAAAAAGGAACTACTGTGTCTAGAGTGCGGTCACAACACCTCAACAAAAAAAGTAGTGCCACACAGCTTATAATGCCAATACAGGTGCATGGCACTACGGAACCCTTTCCTCAGGAGAACTTCACAGCAAGCAAATTGTGAGCAGTGTATTAAAAAAAGAAAAAGCACAAAAAAAAAAAAAAAGGCAGATACAAAGAAATACTTTATCAATCAACATTAGCATTTTCTGGTAACACAGAGACTCTCGTGGCTAGCTGTAGAGTTGGAGAGAGAGGCTTGAGAGCGTTCAGTCGATTGGAACGCTGGCTGGTATCATTTGGGGGCTAGTGACGGTATAGGCACAATGGAGGCTGGCAAAAGCATCCCTCCAGCCTCAGGCTTTTGTGAAGGCCATCATATTCGAGCCGCAGACAGGGACACTTTGAAAGTCCCTGTCCTTCCCTTTCAAGGAGACATAAAAGGCCTTGGTCTTTGAGCTGTCAGCGGCATGTGGTCTTCTGTCTGTGCAGGCGATGCACTGGGGTCATGCCCTTGGTGGTCTTCAGCCAAGGTGTACCAGTGGGAGTGGGATCAGGATCTGTATGATAGACTATGCCTGAGGGAGTGCTGCTGATCTCCAGGCCACTTCCCTCCCAGCCAGTCCTGTGATAGCTGCTGGGATATCACCATTCGGCTCTCCAGCATTGCCCAGGAATTGGTAAAAATGTCATCCAGTCTTTGCAGGATTCCCTCTAAAGAGCCAGGCAGAAACTCAGCTGGCTGTACAGAGAAGCTTGTAGAGAGGGCAGGCGTGTCCGCGATCTTAGCGGTACTTGTTGTGTGCCAGCAATTTGTTCAGGATTCCGGAGGCAGCATAGGTAAGGGATAGTAGTAGGTTGAGCGTTGTGACAGCATAGACTGGTATGACCCCCACTGGTCCAAGGGGGAGGACACAGGACTTGGCCGCGGATGAACCAGCAAGGGTACACCAGGGAGATTGGCCGCAACTCCTAGCTTGTCCCACACTAGGTCGCAGGGTCAAACTGTTCTGAGCACGGATGCAGCAAAGAGAGGCGAGCTTCCCCAAAGAGCAAAAAAGGTCCCTGACTCTGCCAGGTAACAGCTCAGCTTAGCTGAGTATTCACAGCAGCACAAAATCCCAAGTTTAAGGCAGTTAATGGTGGAGCTCGTGCTTTCTGTAACTGCTCGACATGGCCGCCAAGCCCCGCCGCCTTAAACCATGTTATTAACAACACTGAAGTGGTTTTGATGCGGGACTAAACTTTTATTAATTAGCCTGGAAGGTACTTTCTAATATTGGAATATCTAGCCTCCTTCTGTCCATCAACATGATATCCAAGAAATAGTCACTTCTTACAGGGAACCAAAAAAAAAAAAATATATATAGATAGATATATATATTGCTACTTACCATCATGTAAGGATCATCTACAATTGGATAAATGTAATCTGTAGTCTGAACAAGAGAAAGGCCACCATGTCGTAATGGAATGACACACGTGTCCATGCCAATTCCTAAATGAAAAAAGCAGCACGTATATTAAAGATATACAACAAACCAAACAAGAAAAGTGAAAATATACCAACTAAGTGCTTAATTCATACCAGCTGCATGCACCACATATATACACGCACACACTATAAGCAAATGACAACCACATTTACTGTGCAGTTTCTTTAAATACGCAAAGGGATTCTATAGTGTTAGGAATACAGATTTGTATTCCTCACACTATAGTGCCCTCTGGTCCCTCCCCCTTCTCCCTAGCAGCCCCTCTCCCAGTGTGACAAACTGTTAAAAACACCTTACTCACCCGATTCCAGCACAGATGTCCCTCGGCGTTGGGTCGCACTCCACCTCCTCTGATGTCATCCGAATGGAGAAATCAAAAGAACATGCACAACAGGCCCTATCCACAGGACAATACTGAATCAATGCTTTCCTACAGGGATTTCACAAATGCTGGATGTCCTCATGCAGAGCGTGAGGACGTCCAGCGTCATTTAGGGAACCTAGCGTCATCTGGTAGACAGTCCTGCAATGTAAAACATTGCCTCTGGTGGCTAAGGGCAACAGGGACAATATCACTTCAAAAAGCTGAAATGGTCTTGGTGCCTATAGTGCCCCTTTACTTTCATGCTTCTCAAAGATTTTTCCATTTTATTATTATTTTTTTTAGGAAATGTATGCAAGTAGAGCAGAAAATACCTTAAAACAAAAATCGTGCAATCTCTCTTTCATTTCCCCACGGACCACACTCACATAAAACAGAGTCACTTCTGCCTGACTCTGGGTTAAACCACACTATAATGTGAGGGGGTAACCCCCACAGGGAACTTTTTACCAGCATGTCCGATACAGCAGCAGTCCACATACAAGAGTTACACAAAATAAAAAAAAGCCAGGGAGGAGCCAATAGTGTAAAACTATTCATAACAATATAAATATATACAATATTAAAAAAAACCTTTTTTTTACTTTGCAAGAGACAGGAGACCTTTGGCAAATGCATGTAAACAAGGTCTCTTTTCTTGCATTTCTCCTCTGCGTCACTTAGCGTTCCAGTCACGTGGAGCTGCTAGACTTGCCTCCATCTCTACACCTCATGAAGTGTTTTGTCTAAATAAGGTGAACTTCCTCTGACGTCTAACCCTACTGTCCTGCTCACTAATATCATGCTACTGTATACCTATATCACACCTTCACCTCCTTTCATTGGTTCTTTTTGAAAATCACTGGACATTCTCAGATACCTCATATCACTTAGATTATATGGTTTATTGGATTTATTGCAACAGCTTTCCAGGTTATATTTATTCTGCAGGCTTATAAAGTTCCACCAAAGGAACAAAAATGCATACAAATAAAAAACTTATAAGGAATATGTTTTATTGGCAATAATGCATTACAAGTTTTTACAGTGACTTTAGTTGTCCTTTTACTGCCTTTCCTGAAAGGTGTATACCAACCATTTTTTGATGTGTTATTCGGTTTCTGCATATCACAAGATCACCTACCTACTAAAATTAATCAGATCAACAGTTATTTTAGTGGTACATTTAGGGTTATTCATTAACTCTGAACTGAGCTTATTAAAAAATGCCCATTTATCTTGAAATATAAATATATATTTTTTTCCAAGAATATAAGTCTTCTATAAAGCTCCTAAGTTATACCCTATATCCCTGCTGAGGGTGCGCTTCTTGACTGCTTTGTGACCTAGCACAAAGTGTAAATAAGGTTTCTCATAGGGAAGCATTGGATTGGGTGGTGTGTGGGGGGGGTAAACACACACTTAATCTACCATTATAAGTAAATGTATTTAAAATATTCAAGTATCTCTTTAAACTCACCTGTAATACAGCTTTGGGACAGGCTCATTACAGCAGTCTTTTCACCAATAGTGAAGATCTTTGCTCAAACCACTGGAGACCTACAGCGCAGTGCTTCTCTACCGTATAAAATGTATTTAAAGGAACAATTCAAGGATCCTAACCACTAGAGCTCACTGTTGTGATTATGGTGTCAGGAGTGCACTGTCCCCCCAGCATCTTATAGAGACACTATGAGCAACAAGATAACCATGGCTTACTGGACTGGTTTAGGTGTACCCATCGTGCCCCCATATTGTATAACTACTCAATTCTCTGCCACTGAGTTAAATGCTTTTGTTTACGCTGCCCACGTCACACATCCCCATGAAAGCTACACATTGCCTGTAAAGAGAGATCTAATGTTTAAACTTGCTTTATTGCAGTGTGTTTAAACCTAGAATTACTTATTTCTGGCTCTGTTAATAGCCTGCTAGGGTCTCCTGTGTATATGATTAAAATTCTATTAACATAATAAAACAATCTAAAAGTAAACACACAGTGCTGTCACACCTGGTGTAACATGAAACAATTTTTAATGTAGACTGTGTGTCTAGATGACAAGGCCTGCATAAACAGAAACAAAAGCGATTTCATTCCTAAATGGCAGTGAAGTAAGGAGTGAGACTGCAGGGGCATGATCTATGCACTAAAACTGCTTCATTAAAAAGGTACAGCATTAGAAAGCACCCCTATACCAATGTCAACGTGGGAGACTAATCAAATAGTGCTAAATAAATTATATAATATTATTTATAATAATAAAATACACTTCAGCTTATTAAACACTAGCACAATTTGATTTGTCTCCCATGTTGAAATTGGTGTAGGACCCACTGATATTGGGGTACTGTGAATTAGTGGTAGGCTTAACATAAATATGGCCATTTGGTGGAACAGATTCCCCATATTTGTTTGCTGAGAATTGTGATTTTAAAAAGCCTGATAAAATGTAAAAAAGTCCACAAAGATGGTGGCCCCAGTTGCCCGATACCATTTGTGTCATGAGATTTACGTTTCCATTTAAAATAAATTCATCCAAAGAAAAATCATTTTATAGGCTAAGGCAGGGTTATTCAACCTTCCACACTCCAGATGTTTTGGACTACATCTCCCCTGATGCTTTGCCAGCATAATGGCTGTAAGGGAGGTGTAGTCCACATCATCTAGAGTGCTGAAGGTTACCTACCCCTTGGCTAAGGTATTCTTCAGAACTTCTGTTGGTTATATCTCTCCACTATCTCTGCTTCTGTGTTTGTTTTTCCTATTATTCAGAATATTTATTAACTCGCCTAGGATCACCCCTAGGTTTTGATAACCAGTTCAGATGCAACTTGCAAGATGTAATATTCATGTATTTGTCATGATCCATAAGAACTCAATTACCTCCTTTATCTTTTATAATGATATCCTGTGCTATTTATAATTCCTTTAAGACTTTTTCACCCCAAAACAGGTTCTGATTATTAGATTTACCCAGTGTCAGATATTCAATCTCCCCACACGCCAAATTTACAAATCGATCCACTCAGGAAAAATCAAACATTAGGAGTGTATCACCACCTTGATATTTTAGATTAGTCATAGCTTTATTCTGCTCTTGTTTATTCAGTAAGGCAACCAACATTTGTGCCTGACATGCTCAGATTATAGACATCCACAAATGCTGCTTGAGGGGGAAGAGGAGACCAGCCCTGGAGGCAACTTTAGGGTTAAACTGTTTAAGAGTGGTTTAACCCCTGAAGGTAAGAACGCGCCCAGGGGCCTCCTGGCATCATAACTTCATTTAGATTAAGTTGTAATGGTGACTAAAGGCATTTAACCAGACACAATGCTTCTTTCACTTATCACTTTAAAAGGAACACTAAGCGCCAAAATAACTTTAGCTTAATGGAGTGGTTTTGGTGTACAGATCATGTCCCTGCAGTCTCACTGCTCAATTCTCTGCCATTTAGTTAAATCACTTTGCTTATGCACCATAGTGACACTTCCATGCAGGTGACTAACAATCCTTCCTAAACACTTCCTGTAATGTGAGATCTAATGTTTACACTTTCTTTATTGCACACTGTTTAATTTAGAATTTACCTGCTGCTGCTAATAGCCTTCTAGACCCTGCAGGAGACTCTGGTATGTGATTAAAGTTCAATCTACAGAGCAGGAGATAAAAACTTCTAAAGCAAGTTCACAGCTGATTAAACATGAATTTTTTTTTCCCATGCAGGCTGTGTGACTTACTACCTGGGGAGATGTGGCTAGGGCTGTATAAACAGAAAGTTATGTAAATCCTAATTGGCAGATAATTGAGCAGTGAGACTGCAGGGCTAAGATCTATACACTCAAACTGCTTCATTAAAGGACCACTATAGGCACCCAGACCACTTCAGCTTAATGAAGTGGTCTGGGTGCCAGGTCCATCTAGGATTAACCCCTTTTTTTTTTTTTTTTTTTTATAAACATAGCTGCTATGTTTATAATATGGTGAAAATCACAGTGAGAAGACGCCAGCGTCCATAGGAAAGCATTATAAATGCTTTCCTATTAACTGTCAGAATGTGCGCGCGGCTCCTGCCGCGCATGCGCATTCAGCCAATGACGTCGCTATGTAGGAGGAGAGGAGAGCTCCCCGCCCGACGCTGGAGAAAGGTAAGATTTTAACCCCTTCCTCTCACCAGAGCCCGGCGGGAGGGGGGCCCTGAGGGTGGGGGCACGAGTATGTTTTCCTGGCACAATAGTGGTCCTTTAAGCTAAAGTTGTTTTGATTGCTACAGTGTCCTTTTAAGACTTTCTAAATTTGATTCACATGAAAAGTCAGGATGTATTAAAAGGTCACATAATAAAGATGTGTGTCTTTGCAAGCTAGAGGGTTATACACTAACTAGCAGGTTCTGTAATCCTTGCTAGAGTGCTTTAACCTCATGAAATTAAGTCATACATATCCGGTTTCATTGATAGATTGTGTCTGCAGGTAATCTTTACTTTGTTTGCATCACTGTGCAAACACCTCAGAGAAAAGGAGGTCTGGCCAGCACAAAGTTAATGCCTATGCAGATGGCTCATCCATGTGATTCCTGCTGACAAACGTGAAAGAAACTAAAGGAGCCGTTCTAATCATACAAAGTGTGAAAGGTAGTGGTGGGAGGGAAGGCGGTATTCCATAGTCTGCACCAATCAACAACTTACGTTTCAAATGTTTTTGGAATGGAAAGCTATAGGTTTTCGTAAAAACACAAAATAATACATAAATAACATCCACCCTCCTTATCTTTGTAAAGCAAAACTTGGCTCGTCTGCCTAGAATTTAAGAGCAGTGAAAAAAATAAAGGCATCTCAGACTCTAGTCCCGCAAATGTTGCTGAACGACAACACCTGTAATTCTCTGGCCATTTATCGCACGTAAATAATTCTGGGAGTTGTAGGTCACGATCCCTGGTACAGAGTTTCTCTGCTTTCAGCCCATTCCACACATTAATGACTGGAAGTGACAGGCTGTGTTTTTCAAAATTTTCAGGACAAACGGTAAATGAAGTTTCAATGGATCATACCTACAGTGAGGGAGGGCAAGGGATATTCATTGTTCGCTTTACATTATGATTTTAGAGATTCATAAAAGATTGTTAGATCACATTTTAAATATGTTTATTTTTAGAAATATATGATTTAAGGGTTTTACTGCACGTGGGCATTATTTTTTTATTATTTTTTTTGTCACATATACAATAGAATATTTGTATTTTTACTTCTACACCAACATTTCAGGCCCGGTGTGAAACACTAGCAAGATAAGGGATGCTGCATAATGGCTAAAGATTTTCATTCACAAGAAAAACAACAAATTTCTATAAATGGTTAACCGAATAAACTAAAAATATAAATTGTGCAAATGTACATAAATTTTCATTTTTAAGTTTGGCGTTAAAGCAATCTATACAAAATTGCTGTTTTATTGTACATTTATGTGTTATCTATGCATACCATGTTTGAAATTAATGCCATGATAATATTTTGAAACAAGGTGCTTGGTAGTGAGGAGGGTTAAAGAAAGAAAAAAGAAAAAAAAAATAGGGGAAGGGAGGTACCCTATTAAAGAGTAAAACCTATTATAGTATAAAAGGAATTTATTTTGCTTCATACAGCGGTAGGGTTTAATTATAATTATTTGATAGTGCAGATGTTTTTAACCTTTTTTTACTTATTACAGTACGAATATACAGTAGCCTAATTTTAGGGTTAATAATTCCTATTTAATAAGATTTGAGATACTTTTTTCCAAAATATATTGAAATATGAATAATAAAGTTTGGGAAAAATATTGCTCTCTATTCAAGATTTTTAAACCAAACTCTGTATGTAGACAAAAATAAAGTTCTCTTATGGTTATAATTTTCATTTAGTGGATTCCCAATCTACTCAACAATTGTGTGTTTCTCTTGCCTTTTTTGTTTTGACATTTGGTTTTGTCAAAGTTTTAAGCCCTGGATGATAGATCTGCAAATTTCCTAATTTATTTATTTACAGGGTGGTTTCTAATTTAAGCTATATATAGAGCAGCAGGAAATGCTAGCAGAGTGCTTGGTTGTATAGGGAGAGGTATTAGCAGTAGAAAGAGGGAAGTGCTCATGCCATTGTACAGAACACTGGTGAGACCTCACTTGGAGACTGTATTTCAAGAAGGATATTGATACTTTAGAGAGAGTTCAGAGAAGGGCTACTAAACTGGTCCATGGATTGCGGGATAAAACTTACCAGGAAAGGTTAAAGGATCTTAACATGTATAGCTTGGAGGAAAGACGAGACATGGGGGATATGATAGAAACATTTAAATACATAAAGGGAGTCAACATAGTAAAGGAGGAGACTATATATTTAAAAGAAGAAAAACTATCACAACAAGAGGACATAGTCTTAAATTAGAGGGGCAAAGGTTTAAAAATAATATCAGGAAGTATTACTTTATTGAGAGGGTACTGGATGCATGAAATAGCCTTCCAGCTGAAGTGGTAGAGGTTAAAGGACCACTCTAGGCACCCAGACCACTTCAGCTTAATGAAGTGGTCTGGGTGCCAGGTCCAGCTAGGGTTAACCCATTTTTTCATAAACATAGCAGTTTCAGAGAAACTGCTATGTTTATGAATGGGTTAAGCCTTCCCCTATTTCCTCTAGTGGCTCCCCGCCCAGCGCTGGAAAAAGGTAAGTTTTAACCCCTTTCCAGAGCCGGGCGGGAGGGGGACCCTGAGGGTGGGGGCACCCTCAGGGCACTATAGTGGTCCTTTAACACAGAGAGGGAGTTTAAGCATGCGTGGGATAGGCATAAGGCTACCCTAGCTATAAGATCAGGCCAGGGACTGATATAAGTATTTAGAAAATTGGGCAGACTAGATGGGCTGAATAGTTCTTATCTGCCCTTACATTCTAAGTTTCTATATATTTTTTATTTAAGTTCATAAGTGTTTATGCATTAGTATAACCAATTTATAGCATAAATAATTTATCAATTAATTGCCCATTTGTTTAATAATTCATCTAACTTTCAAATCTAAATTTTTGCCAAATGTTTATTGCAAGTCCACAGACACTGCACTTGAATTGAGAGACTCGCACAATTAGGGTCTAAAATACAACATATGTGGTGCATTTGAGGATAAGTGCTCACCCAGCCTGGGCATGACAGCCCCAAGAAACTGCTCATCTTCCTGGAAATGATTATCTTGCAACGATTCCAGCAGTTTTTGCAAGACATCTTGTGGTACTTTGCAGCCGGTGCCTTTTAGCTCTGCAAACCGAGTCAGACGGAAGCTCTTATCAAGTTCATAGCTTTCTGGATTGAAAGACTCCCGGACAGACATGGTTCACGGTTGGATAGTTTATTCCCCCCCTCGTTCTGGTTAGTGTATATATGTCTCAATTCCTTTTAAGACAAATCTAACAATGAAAACAAAAACAACAACACAAAGTGATTATTTTTATCAATCTGAACAAAGCAAAGTTAAGCAGTCTAAATTATCAACCCCCCCCCCCCTCCAAAACACTTAAAACAGACAGAAAGACCAGTACAAAGGTCAGCTGCCTATGTCATGCGAGGTGTTTTTGCATGGCATGCAATGGTGCCACACCCAAACAGGCTGGGGAGATCTTAGTATGTTCCACAGGGCTAGCCCAACAGATATCCCAGTATCACATCTTCTGATAGGAGCAGCCCTCAATTCATTTGTGATTTCAGATCGCCAACTTCCAGGGCATGTGAAGGAGAAACCGGGCTGGAGGAAAGCAGCCTGCCGAAGTACTTGCCCTTGGTCTTCGAACCATCCAGCTCAGTACTCAGACTATGGAAGCCAACCTCCTGCTGCTAAATAGTAAGCAAAAAGATCGCTAGCTAAAAATAGCAAAGTGTGGGTGTAATAGTGTGTGGATTGTGTATAGGAGTCTAACAGTGTGCATGGCAATGTACAACTGTGTATACTGGAGTGGCATCACAAATATCAGATTGCTCACGCACATTTCCATTATAAATCAGCACACACACACACAACTACAAATACAACCCTACAAAACAGTTGTAGCACCCATACAGAACACAAACAGCATATGACAACATGCATACAAGTTAAATTAAATAAATTTAAAAAAAGAGGACTGTCACACCAAAGGACTTCAGTCTTATTTTTGCACAGGTCTGTTTAAAGGTAGCCTACACTTGCCCTTGGAGATAAATAAGTGTGGGGTATCTCTAGGAAAGTAATTAAGTAATATTTGTAAAGGGAAAAAAGAGAGAAACATTAAAAAGGATATTCTTGACCTGATGAACATAAACTTTATAAATTGCTTCATGTGTGAAGAGCGTATCCTTCCCCCCTCTCGTCATTTTACAGAAACTGCAGATTTCAATACCAATTAGTACTTCTAAATTAACTTGTTACACCTTCAAAAGACTGGTCATGTTACTTCCTTGTAGTTTAGCTTATTGGGGCTAAACTCAAGAGGCAGACAATTGTCCAGAGGACCTGCTCTGCAAAGATTTCTGAGCAGCATTGGGAAGTCTAACTGCACAGCCACATAGGTTAGAAGGGGAGGGATTGCAAAGGCTTCAAACAAGAGATCTGCAGCTATTTTAGAGCGTTTAATATATATCCCTGGTCAGGATAATTGCAAAGTTTAGGCTCAAGTAGCAGAGCTGGCAAATAGTGTGTTTTCTAGTTAGTTATTAAACTTAGTTAAATAACTTAAGTGAAACTGTCAAACTCCTGCAAAAAAAGTATTTCATAAAGATAAAAATCTTTATGAAAGACCCATTGACTGTGTTGTTATTTCACTGAAATCCCAACACATTTAAGAGATATACTGAGACAAAGTAGGGACTACTTTGTCCAAGTATATTTTCCTACACCTGATACTTCTAGACACAGGACGGAGCTAAAATCATGTCAATCTCGCAGCCATCTCTAGTGATGGCTGCAAAATTATTTCCAAAGGCAGCAGGCTTTTCTATACAGGTCTGTGCTGCAGAAAAATTCATAAAAGAGAACAGCAATATGAGGAAGCTCAATTTTTAAAAAAAAGAAGTTACTTTGAGCATCACTGCATGCATGCAGAGAAGCAATTGATTGGCAGAGAACTCAGCAACCTTGACTACCACTAAGCAGGTAGATCAGGCTGTAAGCACTCTGTCCCAGTGCTGGAATAAGTAAAGGGTTTGCATGGTTAAATGTGAAAATAAGAAAAAAGGGGGAGGCGGAGAGGGGGATGTAGTCCAAATTATCCCACCAGCATTACACACGCCAACATATTCTGCAGTTTACAACTATAAAATGACACATAATTTACATACAGAATGTAACAAGAGGTGAAGGTAATGCACAAATGATCTTACAAGAGAGAGAGAGAAAGAGACCATTTGTGGACAGACAACAGTGTTCCTTTAAGAAATAAGAGTGAATTTCCACCAGTGAATTAGAAGACTAGTGATATTTTCTATAAAAAGAAAGTAGTAATCAGTTTAGTAAAGCCTTTAAACTGTCAATGCTGCCCATAAGGCTCCATAGTGACCTGGACCTTTGCTCATCTCAGAGGCTATGTGGACATGGTTCCCTTTATGTCCAATGGTAGAGTACTGCACAATATGTTCTCAATTTGTTTAATAGTAGTCTTAAGTGGTGTGAGAAGGGGTTTGCCACTGCTAAGTTTATCTGTGTACTCATGCATCTTAACTGTGTGGAGTAACTGGTCCAGTCTCAGGACTGCCTGCTTTTGCCACATGAAAGATTTTTTACCCCTCTGAAAGAAAAAAAAATAAAATAAAAAAAAATGCAATGCTACTTGTTAGTATTACATTAATTTCGTTATTGCTCAGAAAAATCAGGCATTATTCTACGAATTAGAAGCTACTGGAGTGATTCTTTTTCAATAGCTCAGATTTGATACATCTTAACCTAATACTTCGATATCTGGTTAAATTTTTACATTGGGCAGCAGGAGATCAATAGAATACGGTTTTGTAGATCATGCTGCTTAGTCATTGCAGACCATTTGGATTAATTACCATAACCAAAAGGGTTATTGGATACAGTGTTCCTTTTAAGGCCATCTTGAAACCGGCTAAAAACATTATTTAGTTCATAATTTAGTTAATGCTAGCTACTTAGATCACCATTTTAACTTTGCTGGATATTTTTCGTTATAACTTATCTTAGTAAAAAAAAAACAAAAAAAAAAAACAAATAGTACTTTCCACCCAATCCAAGAGGCCCTATTGATATTTCCTTCCATTATTTATAGCTTTCCCCTTATTTTCAACTGATTACTACTACTTGGTGTACTTGTTTTAGTCATCTTATTAGTTACAGATTTACAACCATTTAGGTAACTAATTCTGGTTGCAACAACTTTGGTCTGGTTGAACACATTGCAGTATTCTGACAATTTTGTCGAATCCACCCATATTAAGCAATTTTGATATTTTAAAACTGACCAAGGATTACATTACCTCCCCATCTTATTCTATGTACTGTATTCTAGGGGACCTCAATTTATGTAGCATCCTTATAGTTTAATTTCGAATTTTGGCAATTTCTCAGGAAACTTTCATATAGGGTCACTTTACACTTCTACTCATTCAATGTTTCATTCATATATTTATGTCCCTCTTATCCACCAATGATACTTCATGAGATAATTGCAGCATGACATATGCTTTCTGTCATAGTTGACATCTTATTGTACTGCAGATCCATTTGAATATGGTTTTATCTTGTAATTTTTTAATTATTTAATAAAGGCCATGCTTTTTTATTTTGCTTGGTTTGGTAAATGTTTGTGGTCTCTGTATTTTCCTGTAAAATCACATCTCATAACTAGAACATTTGTTCGTTCTCTTGAACAATGCACAACATAACGGGCAACCAGAACCAATTACTTCTGAATCACCAAAAATGCAGAGTTTATATAAAAAGCTGTTTTGCCATCACTGTTGAGGTTTTCAATGTAAATATTGTATATTTTTGAGAAACTGCAATGTTTAAATTCCTCTTCTAGGGACAACCACTGGAGGCACTTCGGCTGCACTGACCTAGGAAAACTCGTTCACGTGACGCTGAAGCCTAATAAAAAAACATTGATTCAAGGTTTCATATACATGCATTGAAAAAACATTTTTATTTATTTTAAATGGCAAAAAAGGGTGTGAGGGGACCTGAAACACTATAGAATTAAAAATACACATTTGAAAAATTCCTAATGTTATAGTGTTCCTTTAAGAGCTGGCCTTTAATAGACTTTTTTTGTGAACAACACACCTGCAGCAGACATCTGAACCTCTGAAATATGTGGGTTTTTAAAGCAAAAAGTGGTTTCTAAGGCTTATAAAGCCTTCCCACGCCCTGCAAGTTGACTCAGAGTGCTCTGATTATTTGGTTTAAGCCAACCAATAAGAGTGCTCATGGGCCCCACCCATGAGAAGTCCCAAGGGGAGGACAATAGGTCTCCCCACCCCCCCATTGTCATTAGGGCCCTCACCTTCCGCTCATGGGTAGGCTCATAGTGTCCCACAGGGCCTTCATCTGCCCACAAAAAGATGGCGGAGCCCGGGACCTAGGTACGGGCACAAAATAAAGATTATAAAATAGGTAATATGGGGGGAGGGAGGTTTAAGGGCATTTGGGGTGCAAGGGGGGCAATTAGATGTAGTGGAGTCGGGAGGGTTAAAAATTATTATTTTTTTAAATAAAATAAAACTGGTGCGGCCATGACAGTGCCGCTTTAAAGACTACCTAACCATAAAATATCTGCCTTGTTTCAACAATATAGTAACTTTCCACATGCAACTGACCTACTGCAGAAATATTATTGGCAACTTAGAATTTTTACAATATTAATTGGACTTTGACAACAAATGAGAAACTATTATAAATTTTCACAGGAACAATAGATGGATGACAATCCTGCCCAAACAAGCTTACAATCTAGATAACATGGGGTAAAAAACAAAAAAAAAAACACTTGGAAAGAAGCAAAATTGGAAGGTTGAGAATGAAGTGGAGAATGGAAGAACGAATAAAAGGAATCCCCCCACTCATCATAACAACGGCATCTAGATGAAGTTGAAATAGTGCCTAGATGCCACCAGGCGCTCACTTTCCTCTAAGAGTTAAGCTGTTCTTGAACGGTTAGACCCCAAAGGCTGCTTCCAGCTCTGATCTCCAGGCGGCATCAGACTTCTGAAGCTGATTTACAGGAAGTGTGAAGTGCCGCGGCTGGACAGGGGCGCTGCTGATTGGCTAAGAACTTCGACTGATCACTTTATTCAATCAGTAGAGGTCAAAGGGAGGGTAAATATATACCTACCCCAGCAGGCACGCTCCCAACACTCCCTGAAAGGGAGAAGCTCGTTTTGTCTGTCACCTGCGCACAGATGAAATTTTTGCAGAGTATATTAGGTAGCCCACAGAGGAGTAACTAGACCACAGCAGAAATTTGCAGACCCCTTTCTGGGTCTTCATTAGGTCTGGGACTGGGCTGCCTCTCCTTAATGCACCACCACTATGATATTTATTCGGTATCCTCCCCAAAATCAATAATTAACGCAGCAGCCGTCTGAAGGATTGTAGGGAGAGATAAGATGAGAAACAAGAAAAGACATGGTCATGAAGGAACATGGTGTAAACAGTTTGGAGAAGGAGAACATAATAAACAGTGTCAAAGGCAGCAGACAAAATACAAGAATTTGTGCCAGTTATGTTGAAATCAATCATGAAAGTCTTACAAACAGTCAAGTGATTTTAGCAGATAACATTTATGGAGTTCTAGCCTGTAAAGAGGAACTGTCACCTATGTGAAGTTAGACATAGCATAGATTGAGGAAGAAATGTTAGCCAATAATTAAAGAAGTGAAAAGGTTTGTTTTTGTTTGGCTTTTCATCCAATGTCTTCTGCAAATGGAAAAATTATGAATTTATATCATATGCCTTCAAGCCGGGATGGGGAACATTTGGACCTCCAGATGTTTTGGACTACATCTCCCATAATGTCCTTACAACCATAGCGCTGGCAAAGCATCAAGGGAGATGTAGTCCACAACATCTGGAGGGCCGAAGGTTCCCCATCCCTGCCTTAGAGGAACATACAGTGCCTTGCAAAAATATTCACCGCCCTTGGCATTTTTCATGTTTTGTTGCCTCACAACCTGGAACTAACATGGATTGTTTGAGGATTTGTATCATGTAATTTACAGAACATGCCCACAACTTTGAAAATGCTTTTTTTTTGAGAAACAAACAACAAATAGGACAAAATAACAGAAAAGGTCATTGTGATTCACTATTCACCCCCCCTAAAGTCAATAATTTGTAGAGCCACCTTTTGCGGCAATCACAGCTCCAAGTCGCTTTGGATAAGTCTCTATGAGCTTGCCACATATTACCACTTGGATTTTTGCCCATTCCTCCTTGCAAAACTGCTCCAGCTCCTTCAAGTTGGATGGTTTGCGCTTGTGAACAGCAATTTTTAAGGCTGACCACAGATTTTCTATTGGATTGAGGTCTGGGCTTTGACTAGGCCATTCCAACACATTTACATATTTCCCCTTAAACCACTCAAGTGTTGCTTGAGCAGTGTGTTTGGGGGTCATTGTCCTGCTGGAAGGTGAACCTCCGTCCTAGCCTCAAATCACGCACTGAGTGGTACAGGTTTTGTTCAAGAATATCCCTTTATTTAGCACCATCCATCTTTCCCTCAACTCTGACCAGACTCCCAGCTACTGAAAAACATCCCCACAGCGTGTTCTTTGAGTGATGTGTTGGGTTTGCGCCAGACATAGCGTTTTCTTACAGATACTCCAGACTCTGCTGTGGAACTCTGCAGCTCCTCCAGGGTTACCTTAGGTCTCTGTGCTGCTTCCCTGATTAATGCCCTCCTTGCCCGGTCTGTAAGTTTTGGTGGGCAGCCGTCTCTTGGCAGGTTTGCTGTTGTGCCATGTTCTTTCCATTTGGTTATGATAGATTTGATGGTGCTCCTGGGGATTATCAAAGATTTGGATATTTTTTTATTTTTTTTTAATAACCTAACTCTGACTTGTACTTCTCAACAACATTGTCCCTTACATTTCCTTGGTAGTGATGTCCCGAACGGTTCGCCACGGACATAGGGGGTGGACCGAACAGCGCATATGTTCGCCGTCCGCGGCGAACCGTTCGGGACATCACTATTCCGTGGTCTTCATGGTTTGGTTAGTGGTGCCTCTTGCTTAGGTGTTGCAGCCTCTGGGGCCTTTCAAAAAAGGTGTGTATATGTAATGACTGATCACGTGACACTTAGAATGCACACAGGTGAACATCATTTCACTAATTATGTGACTTCTGAAGGTAATTGGTTGCACCAGAGCTTTTTATGGACTTCATAACAAAGGGGGTGAATACATATGCACATGACAATTTTCTGTTTTCTATTTCTAAAAAATAGTTTTAGGTATATATTTTTCTAATTTCACTTCACCAAGTTAGACTATTGTGTTCTGATTCGTCACATAAAATTCAGATTAATAAAACATTGAACTTAAGGCTGTAATGTAACAAAATAGGTAAAAAGTCAAGGGGGTGAATACTTTTGCAAGGCACTGTAAACGTGTTGGGAATACAGACTTAGTGTTCTCCTTTTGCATTTAGTTTAAAGAGATACTCCAGGAACCCAGACCACTCCTGCCCATTGGAGTGGTCTTGGTGCCAACGCCCACCACCCTTAACCCTGAAAGTGTAATTATTGCAGTTTTCATAAAGTGCAATATTTACCTTCCAGGGTTAAGTCATCCTCTAGTGGCTGTCAGATGGACTTCCGTGTTCTTACAACACAAAAGTGTGTTATAAGACGCTGGACGTCCTCACGCTATTTGAGGAGCTCCAGCGTCCACGAAATCCCCATAGGAAAGCATTGAATAATGCCTCCCTTTATTTTCAAGAGATTGCACATTAAATAGATTTCCAACAAATGAGGAGAGCATTATAACCACAAGAATGGCACCTGCTAGACAGTCTATGAGGTGGAATAAACACAAACACTGCATTGGTTTTGAAAGGAATTAAAAAGGAACAAACTAAAACCTGACAGTTCCCCTTTATAGTAGTCCACAATAGAAAAGGAAGCCACACACATCTAAACAGAACTAGGGTGCTCTTGAACAAGGACTGGCAATCCCTCAATGTCAAATGGAAGAAAAAAGGTGGTCCAGGCACTCAATCAAATTAAGCAGCTTTATTGAACATGAACAGACATAGCAAGGTTTCAGCCCACAACAGGGCCTTGTCCCCTTAATAAAAAACAAGAGTCACTGAGCTACAAATAATATTACTACTTTCATTATATCATCACAGAGGACAGTCCCTAGAAGTTTTCCTAGAGGCAAAACTTGCCCCTGAGTTAGAACAGCCAGTCAAGCGTTGCTGCATATAGAAAAAACACTTGACTGGCTGTTCTGACTCCACCTCCACCACACACAAAACAACCCAAATATGCTGTATTGCAGAAAACATGCAGACACCAACAAGCAATTGTCTTCATAAACCATTTGCAGTTAAGGTACCAGAAGGTTGGTTACATCACATTTACCAAGGTAAGTGTTACAGCAGTGACCGTTAGACTTTTACAATAAAAAGAAAATCATACAACCACCTCCCCGCCACAAAGCACGTATAATTTCTGTTAAAAGGTACAAGCTTGTCTTATTTCAGTTAAAGGGACGCTCCGTCTAAAAGTGCAGATTTCTATAGAAATACACCTTTATAAATTAACTTCAAAGAACTGCATTGGAAGTCTGTGATTAGACAGCAACAGAAAATCTGGGTGTTGTTAGCAGGGGAGGGTTGGTAAAGGCTTCAAGCAAGAGATCTGCAGCTTTTGCAAGAGGTTTATATATAACACAATGAAAAGAAAAGTAATGTGTTTATTGAGGAATATTTATTAAACAGGGATATTTAACTTTTTTTTTCTTTTCATTTGGGCAGTGAAGTGTCTCTTTAACTGCATGCTCTTGTATGCTTAATTAACAAGTGCTTACAAGAGGAACAGAAAGGCATAATAATAATAATAATAATAGGCACGTTTATAAATATCCCTGCCTCCCCCACTTTGAACTATGAAGTAGAAGTTGATTCAAAGATTCCAATCTAATAGTTTTAAGGGACGGTCTTACTTAAATAATAATACTTATGTACATAGGTGTGGAAAAAATGCTGTCAAGTAGGAATGCTTTCAATAATTGAAAACGCTAAAGGACCACTAACGGCACCGAAGACTACTTTATCACAGTGAAGTGGTCTGGGTGCAGTGGCCCAGTCTATTTAACCCCTTAAGGCAGGCGGGCGTACTATGCAATCCTTGAAAGGGTGGCTCCAAACGCCGGAGGGCAGCATAGTACACTCAGCCGTACTGGACTGGCGATCCTGGTCCAGGGGGACTGCCAGAGACCCCAGCCCTCCAGGGCCATGTGATCACATGGCCGCAATAGAAGTCAATGGAGCTACCTGAAGGGGGACTGTCTGAGCTGTCAGGCAGTCCCCCTGACACATACACACATATATATATATATATATATATATGGGAAGAGAGGGAGAAACACATTTAACTATTACATAATTATTAGATTTTATTATTATTTGAGAGACCTGACAACCCAGACAGACAGTCCAGAGAATTTAATTGGCGATCCCTATATTTAACCCCGTAACTTTCCAAAACACCGTAAAACCTTTACATGGGAGTTAGTGTTATACTTGGGAGACTTTGTTGAACACAAATATGAGTGTTTTAAAAAGTAAAGTCTTAACATGGCGGTGAAATCAGTAAAAATGCAGTTTTGCAAAAAACAAAAACGCTACGTTTGCCAGCGTTCGTGACGAACTGGCTACAAAAGACTAGACATACCCCATTTTGAATACTGTGGGTGTTCTACTTTTTCAAATGTTATGTCATGGTGGGGTTAATATTTTCATTTCTGGACTGCCATACTTTCTCAAAGACAACATAGGCCCAGCAAACCAATCTGGAAAATTTCAATGTGCATACATGGAAAAGGGGGATGCCCTACATTTGACCCCTGTAAGTTTCCAAAAACCCATAAAACCTGTACATTGGGGGTACTGTTGTACTTGTGTGACATTTCTGAATACAAACGTGTATTTTATTTCAGTAAAATCCAACAGTATGATAACATTCACAGTTAAAATGCCATGCAAAACTTAACATTTCTTAAAGGACCACTATAGGGCCAGGAAAACATACTAGTTTTCCTGGCACTATAGTGCCCTGAGGGTGCCCCCACCCTCAGGCTCTAGGGGGAAGAAGGGGTTAAACTTGCCTCTTTCTCCAGCGCCGGGCGGGGGACTCTCCTCCTCCTCGGCTGAATGCGCATGCGCAGCAAGAGCCAGCACAAGTCAAACACTGGCCAATCACCATCTCCTCATTTAGATGAATTGAATCAATGCATCTCTATGAGGAAAGTTCAGTGTATGTATGCAAAGGGTGGATACACGGAATGGCCAGTGGAGGCATCACTAGGCTGTAATGTAAACACTGCATTTTCTCTGAAAAGACAGTGTTTACAGCAAAAAGCCTGAAGGGAATGATTGTACTCACCAGAACAAATACCATAAGCTGAAGTTGTTCTGGTGACTAGTGTCCCTTTAACCAAACAACGTAAAATATAGCCGATTTGCAGATACAGAAATCATGCTCTTACTAGAATTTGATTGAAAGAGCTCATCCGCAACACTTCTCTAGGAGAAGCACTTTATTTGCCAAGAATTAGCAGGCATGCTAACAAAGACGAAGGCAGAGCTTATGGCTGCTGCAGGACACCCTTTATGTAAAAAAAAAAAAAAAAAATATATATATATATATATTGTCCTGGATGAAATGGTATGGTCCTCACAGAGCCTTGATTTTAACATTGATTATGTCTGGGATTACATGAAGAGACAGAAACAGCCGAGGCTGCTTATATCCACTAAAGAATTGTGGCTAGTTCTTTAAGAGATTTGGAAAAACCTACCTGCCAAGTTTCTTATAAAAAAACTGTGCAATTGTACCTACATGAAATGATACTGTTCTGAAAGCAAGGGGGTGGGGTGTGCCACACCAAAAATAAAGCATTTCACTATAAATAAAAAATTTTAAAAAAAAAGCTGCACATACAGAGTTTGACTCATTTGCTACCAGAGGTGTATCTCGAACTCAAACAGAGTTCCTGGGATGGCTAATGTCAATTCAGTACACAATGGACATCTGACGTCAACATGTGTTTATTGGTAACACGGTCAGGAGCAGTAAGCATGATTCTGTTTCCCTTTTTTTGTCTTTGTCTGATCTGTTAGGAAGTGAAACCCTTTTGGTCAAAAGAGCATTACTGTGTGTATACCAAGACCTCCACAGAAACTCGCTGCTGTGCCTGCAGCCAGAAACCTATTATACAATGTTTGGGTCCCCAACAGATAAGAGATGGATCCACATCAGTATCCTAGATAATCCACGAATAAAAATAAACTATATACACACACACACACACACACATATATATATATATACACATATATATATATATATACATATACATATATATATAAAATGGTTTTATCTTTAAACAGATGTTCACTTAGTTCAAAAGTCCTCCTTTGTAAATTGAGCTTTAATCACACAAATGTGCTCCTGCAGGGTCTAGCAAACTATTAAAGCAGAAGATGAGAAATTCTAAATTAAAACTGACTGTGCAAGAAAAGGAAGTGTAAACATTAGATGACTCTTTACACAAAGTGTTTAGGAAGGCTGTGCAAGTCACATGCAGGGAGGTGTGACTAGGGCTGTGTGGCGAAACCGACCTCGCCACGTGTCCTTGGAGGGGGCTGCTTGCCCGCCTCTTGCCTTTGGACTATGGACCAGACTTTATGTGAATGTGTTAACCCAGATAGCTATGCCATGGAGCCCATTCGTGTAGTTAAAGACTTCGGCTCCATGGCAATTGAACTGTGTGAATAGGATCTGAGCGCTATTCGGTAGTTTTGTGCGCTCAGATCCCAGCTATCTGGGGATATGTGAAATGTCTGTGTGTTATGTGTAAAAGGTGACTTTATGTATTTTAAAGTGTTTTATGTCTTTTTGCAACCATGTGCTCAATGGAGTCTGCCTCTATCCCTGGATAATTGGATTACTTTCCCCATTGTCTCCAGGATAGAGGGCTCTGTAAAACCTGTTTGAGCCAGATATCCATGTGCCAGCCAGGGCCCAAAAGATACTTTTACTAACTTTTGAACCCCTGGTCGGATTCATGCCATTTTTTAATATGTTGTTCCCCTGAATGCATTGATTGTGAATATGTAATTTTATGTGAATGTGATGTATGGTTTTAAAGTTATGAAAGTTGGGTAGAAAGTATGTTTTAACTGTATGTGTAATTGAGTTTCCTCTCAGGATAATGGGAGGGAATATGTGGGATGTAACTGATATGTGATTGGTGGTTTTATACCTCCCTGTGGGCGGTCCTGTGTGTGAAAGGCTGTAATAAAAACCAGGCTGGGTGTGCCAGCACAAGAGTTCCTGCTTAACCCTCAAAGTGAAGTGTCGTCTCATTATTGGGGGAGGATTTATTGTATGCCGTTCCAGTTTGACTGCTAGGAGTGTAAACCTATTCGTATGGTTCCTATTCAACGGTCTACAGCATTCATATGCTTGAGAGAAGGTATACGCTTCTCCGGTTCGGTGATTGTGGTGTCTGCTAAAGTGCTTGGAGTCCTCAGGAAGCGCTAGGAGCATCCTTCAACGGAGGTACCCAGTCGGGGTGCCAGGTGATCCGTTACAGGCTGTTTAACCCCTTAAGAACACATGACATGTGTGACATGTCATGAATCCCTTTTATTCCAGAAGTTTGGTCCTTAAGGGGTTAAACAAAAAGTTAACCCCTAAATGTCATAACTGAGCAGTGAATCTGCAGGGGTGTGGATCTATACACCAAAACTGGTGCATTAAGCCAACATTGTTTTGGTGATCAATATGTCCCATTAATCACATCACACCCTCACTTTCCCCACTGAAAAGGCTTAAGAAATAGACCTCTACAGTGATTGGCATGGCCCATCTTCTTGCCACCTACGTGGTCCCCTTAGCCTGTCCTCTCCCTACATCCCTCCCCCCTCTAGCAACCAAGAATGCAATTATCACTCAGGCTGAGCTTTAGAGATCATGTGTGAAGGGAGAAACATGTGGAAGGACAACCATCACTGAACAGTCTGGTCTCAAGGAAACCAGGCACCACTCCTGCTTTGGGGCATGTTTTTCCAGCAGTAGGAGCTAAGAGATTGGTTAGTGTTGAAGGACAGTTGAATGCAGCAAAAACACAAAAAATTCTTAAAGCAGCATTTCACAATTAGTGCAAATTGGGGTTCCGTAGCAATTTGCCCGTCAGGTGGCCCAATCATTTAGGAAACACCCGATGGGTATCGCTAAACAGGGGACCATTCAAGCGCTGCAGCATCTAAGACTGCGCCGGACCCCTGTTGTATGGAATGCTGGGAGGACATGACAGCACTTCCTCCCAGACAGAGCGGAGAGGGAGCGCAGCTCCAGACCTGGCACACCATCCTCAACCAGCAACACTGAAGGAAGAAAAAAGGTAAGTTAAACATATGTGTATGTGCGTGTATATGTGTATCAAAGTAGGTATGTGTATCTGTCAGCCACTATGTGCGTGCGAGTGTGTGTCAGATACACACTTTTGACAGACAGATACACACCGTGTGTCAAGGTGTGTGTACCTGTGTGCCAGTGTGTGAGATACACACACACACACACACACACACACAATGTGTGTATATCTGTGTGTCAGATGCATACACACACCTTGACACGCAGACACACACCGGCACAAACACAGATACACACTGTGCGTCAAGGGGGGAGTGGGGGTGGTGTGTGTCAGATACATATATACAAGAAGTAGTTGACTGTCCAAAAACAGTCATAAAAAAAAATTTAAAAAAAAAAAAATTATAATTTATATATATTTTTTAACCACTATAAAAACACACATACAGTATATTAAGTTGCACATTTTCTTTCCATTGGAGTTATATCTAAACACAGCTCGCAAAAGCTGTAGATCTCATCTGCTGCCTTTGCAAGCTCTCCACTTCTTCCCCAGACATTCTGTGGCTGTCCACTAACAAACCAAAGCAAGACAGGCACCCTGGGTCATTGTGTGCCTCTTGAGAATAGGTCCACTGTACTAAACTAACAAAGTAATGGCAAGCTCTTTAGAAAGTGCTTCATGTGGGTGGAGTGTACATGGAGAGACACAACAAAGTTGCTGGGATTGTGTACCGAAACATCTGCACAGAATATTGATTGGACCTGCCTAATTCCAGAGAGAATAACAGGGCTAAGATCCAGTGGGACTTCAAGATCCGGACAGACAAGCAAGTGCTGGTCAACCAACCAGACATCGTGATGGTAGACAAGGAACGAAAGACTGCAGTCGTGGTGGATGTGGCAATACCCAGTGACTAGAAAATCAGGAAGAAGGAACATGAGAAGGTGTCTGTGAGGAAGCTGAAGCGTGGGCGTCATTGGACCAACAAGACAATGATCCTAAGCATACCTCAAATGCCACGAATACTTGGTTGCAGAAAAAGTCCGGGAAAACTACACAGTCACCCGACTTGAATCCCATAGAAAATCTTTGGTGGAGTTTGAAACCGAAGAATATTCCTGAAATGGAGGCCATTGCACATAAGCAGAAGCTGGTGTCTGGCTGTGCATCTTGTTTGCACCAGGTCATAACAAAAGGGTGCTCTCCCAAGTACTAAAGATGCTTGCCATTAAGGAGTTGAATATTTTTGAAACTGGAGAAGTCATTATAAGTTGCATTTTTGGGGGGGGCCTGATGTCTAACATGGGCGGACGCATCTACATGCAGCCGAGCCAAAGATTCTCATGTACCAAATGAGCCCAGAGACAAGGGTATGGGTGGAGGACTTTGAGGCCAGGTTCAACAAAGTTTGCCAGAAGTTTTGGCAGACCTCAGCCCATTGTTCAAGCAACTTACCCGACTCCGAAGCAGACTCCTGCTCTCTGTTCCTGCCCTGGGATGGGGATCCTCGTGGAGCAGACTGCACCAAAACATCTGGAGACTCGAGCGGTTGATCTGAAGTCTCCACACACCTATGGTCTCTCCGAAATGAAATTTGATATTGTGGATACGAGGCATTGACCCCAAGCACAATCTGGGCTTGAGGCGGTGGGAGACCCGGGAACAGGGAAAAGTCTCCCTTACAACTATCTGGAGCCCGACCACCCCGACCCCTTATAGACAGGGACGTGTGCGGCATTGGTTGCAGGCATCAGGTGGAGATTCACGAAATTTCCAACATTGCAGTAGGGTTATGCATTGTCTTCTATGTTATTACTTTCAGTGGGTTTTCAGAGAATATATATATCAGCTTGGTACTCTCCTTATACGGTGAAAAATTAGTAAAGCTTGCCTAGGTGCCACCTGCATTAAATATATACAAAAATAGTATAAGGGGTGCACTCACAGGTCTTTGTAGTGAAGTATACGTGGGGCACTCCTTATTCTAGGTTTGTGTGTGTGTGTGTGTATATATATATATATCTCTCAATTTTTCTTGTTCAATTAAAAAAAAAAAAAAGTGCAGCATACCATGATTAACCATTTCTATACTTTGTTATTTTCTTTTATGCTATGCATGTTCAATGAAACGTGTCTTTAACCCTATTTCAATTGCTTTTGTTTGATTTGGTTACTGCAAATATTGTGTGTGTGTACACAGTATATCACAAAAGTAAGTACACCCCTCACATTTTTGTAAATATCTTTTCGTGTGACAAAACTGAAGAAATTACACTCTGCCATAATGTAAAGTAGTAAGTGTACAGCATGTATAACAGTAGTTATTTTGAGGGGACAGCAAATTTACAAACACACAGCCATTAACGTCTAAATCGTTGGCAACAGAGGTGAGTACACCCCTAAGTGGAAATGTCCAAATTGGGCCCAAAGTGTCAATATTTTGTGAGGCCATCATTATTTTCCAGCATTGCCTTAACCCTCATGGGCACGGAGTTCACCAGAGCTTCACAGGTTAGCAATGCAGTGGTCGTCTTGGAGGTGTGTTTGGGGTTGTTATGTTGGAATACTGCCCTGCGGCCCAGTCTCCGAAGGGCCCCCACTAAAGCTCTGCTTTAGTATATCACAGTGCATGTTGGCATTCATGGTTCCCTCAATGAACTGTAGCTCCCCAGTGCCAGCAGCACTCATGCAGGCCCAGACCATGAGACTCCCACCACCATACTTAACTGTAGGCAAGACACACTTGTCTTTGTATCCTCACCTGGTTGCCGCCACACACGCTTGACACCATCTGAACCAACTAAGTTTATCTTGGTCTCATCGGACCACAGGACATGGTTCTAGTAATCCATGTCCTTAGTCTGCTTGTCTTCAACAAATTGTTTGCAGGCTTTCTTGTGCATCATCTTTAGAAGAGGCTTCCTTCTGGGACAACAGCCATGCAGACTAATTTAAATGCGGCGTATGGTCTGAGCACTGACAGGCTGACCTCCCACCCCTTCAACCTCTGCAGCAATGCTGGCAGCACTCTATTTCCCAATCTCTGGATATGACGCTGAGCACATTCACTCAACTTCTTTGGTTCACCATGGCGAGGCCTGTTGTGAGTGGAATCTGTCCTGTGAAACCGCTGTATGGTCTTGCCCACCGTGCTGCAGCTCAGATTCAGGGTCTTGGCAATCTTCTTATAGCCTAGGCCATCTTTATGAGCAGCAACAATTATTTTTTACAGATCCTGAGAGAGTTCTTTGCCATGAGGTGCCATGTGAAACTTCCAGTGACCAGTATGAGAGAGGGTGAGAGCGATAACACCAAATTTAACACTGCTCCCCTTTCACACCTAAAACATTTTAACACTAACGAGTCACATGACACCGGGGAGGGAAAATGGCTAATTGGGCCCAATTTGGACATTTCCACTTAGGGGTGTACTCACTTTTGTTACCAACGGTTTAGACATTAATGGCTATTTTGAGGGGACAGCAAATTTACACTGTTATACAGGCTGTACACTTACTACTTTACATTGTAGCAGAGTGTAATTTCTTCAGTATTGTCACATGAAAAGATATAAAATATTTACGAAAATGAGGATAGAGAGACACACAGGAGGCCCAGAAGGCTCGAAACATTGATTACTTTGAATACACTCTGGAAACAAATCCTTGAGAGTGCTCTCTTTTCTAACATTGTATGTAGTTGCACTGAGAAGCACCCAAATATTTGAGGACCCATTATGTATATATTTGTTTGATGAGTGCCAGAATTTTGACACATGCATAGACAAGGCAAGGAAACCATGCAAGAGCCCAAACATACCGGTAAATTAAAGGACCACTATAGTGCCAGGAAAACATACTCGTTTTCCTGGCACTATAGTGCCCTGAGGGTGCCCCCACCCTCAGGGTCCCCCTCCCGCCCGGCTCTGGAAGGGGGAAAGGGGTAATAACTTACCTTTTTCCAGCGCTGGGCGGAGAGCTCTCCTCTCCGCCTCCGTTACGCCCCGCCGGCTGAATGCGCACGCGCGGCAAGAGCTGCGCGCGCATTCAGCCGGTCTTATAGGAAAGCATTTACAATGCTTTCCTATGGACGCTGGCGTGCTCTCACTGTGAAAATCACAGTGAGAAGCACGCAAGCGCCTCTAGTGGCTGTCAATGAGACAGCCACTAGAGGATTAGGGGGAAGGCTTAACCCATTCATAATTATAGCAGTTTCTCTGAACTGCTATAATTATGAAAAAATGGGTTAACCCTAGAAGGACCTGGCACCCAGACCACTTCATTAAGCTGAAGTGGTCTGGGTGCCTAGAGTGGTCCTTTAAGGGCTACTGGACGGTTGCCACAGGGGGTAACCCTAGTAGGCAAGCTGTGCAAAAAAAAAAAAAGTGTTAATGTGAGTGTGTGTCTGTTAAGGTGTGTGTGTGTGTGTTTTGTTAGTGTGTCTGACTTGCCTGTGTGAGTGTGTATGTCTGACTGTGTGTCAGTGAGTGTTTGTCAGTGTGTGTGTGTGTGTGTTTACCTGTGAGTGTCTGACTGTGTTTGTCTGTTAGTGTGTGTGTGTGTCTGACTGTGTCAGTGAGTGTGTGTTTCTGTTAGCGAGTGTATGCGTGTGTGTGTGTATTTAGAAGGCGGGTTGCAGGGGGGCACCTGAGTTTTGTCCTGCCTAGGGCAGTACAAAACCAGGATACACCACTGCCTGCTAGGGTTAACTCCTTCTCTAGTGGCTGTCTAACTTCCAGGTGGATAGGTGACTTTTGGTCGCCTAAACGATGCTGGAATACTCACTCTATGCATGAGGACTTCCAGCGTCACCGGAATCCACATAGGAAAGCATTGAATAATGATTTCCTAGGGGGAAATCCTAATGCGAGCTTGGCCATTGCCGCGCATGCGCTTTAGGTCTCCCCCACTGGCTGACGTCAGCGAGGGAGGAGCATGAGTGGAGCTGGGCCAGCACCAAGGGACATTGTTCAGGAGAAACAGGGCTTTAATTTATCATTAACTTCATATATGGAACATAATATATTATGAATAAAAAATTTTAAAAGTGAGAAAATAAGATTTTTTTTTAAATTTGTATTTCCGTCTGACATTTTAGCTGTGAATGTTATAATACTGTTATGTGCATTTTTTTTTATTTTTATTTTTGCAGTAAAACCTATTTGTAATCAGCGACTAATTTGGAGGCAGTAACATACAAATCTTAAAAGCGATGCAATCCCTACCCCTTCAATAGTTATTAATGCAGAGAAGGTGATTAGAAGTGAAAAGGGGAGGAGAAAAAGGGAGGGAGAAGAGAGGGAAAAACCCTAACAGATGACCCTTACAGTACCTCAGCACCGTGGTAAAAACCACTAATGCCTATCTGAACCATTGGCCCCAATAGCTCAAAAAAATATATATAAAATTTCAACCAAAATGTGTAAAGAAAAAGTGCTCATAGGTGTAGGGTGACAATATGTGTGTGTATATTTGTAAAGGTACTTTATTGATCATGCCATGGCATGTCTGTATTTATGATAATATCTTTAGATTGTGCTACCTGCATGCACAAAGCTCTAGAAATATAGGTTGCTGCAGCAACACAAAATGGGACCTATTTCCTAAAATTGGTCTTCAGTTGAGTAAGAGAGAACCAAAACCTTTTTTCGTTTTATGAATACATATATACATATATATATATATATATATATATATATATATATATATATATATATATATATATATATATATATATATATATATATATATATATATACACACACACACACACACACATACACACACACATATACACCCCTATAGCAATGTAGTCATATGTGCGCATATATATATATATATATATATATATATATATATATACACACATACATACATACATACATACACACACAAGTTATTTATATATCCATCTTTTTGTGTGATAGTTACAGTAGAGAGTGTGCTTTGGTATATATACTTCAAGGGTTCATCTAGGCAACATAACCACTACAGCCCTCTGTTTTGGACAAACTTTGATCAGAGTTTGAAATTTCAAGATAGATCTTAAAGTTACTCTCCATCACAAGCTTGGAAGGTCCATGGCACACTCACCAGGAGTGATTTTCATCTTGCCAATGGCTAAAGAAAATTTTAATAAATCTCTTCCAATGTGTTCATGGCACATTTTGAGTCTTGGGGAATACCAGGTTCCATGGCATCCCCATGTAAAACTACTTAGTCCCTTAATAAAATATCCATTCCCAATTTTGAAGATACATTTACAAAATCATTTGAGCAAAATGTTTGGATTCTAGAACAGCTATTTAACAAACAGAATTAATGCAAAAATAAAAAAAGGTATACTTTAAGAATGGTTTGTCACTCAAACAGTATCTAAGCCTCCTCACATGAAGTGGCCCCTATCACCTCTAGTCACTCATGCCAAGTTTTGTTACAATTTATTATTTTGTGTTTATCCATTGAACAACCCTGATTTAGAGAGATATATATATATATATATATATATATATATATATATATATGAAATAAAACGCAAGCATGGCAACAAGCACCCTGGTGCTAAAGGAAAACTATACTAGCTTTGATCTTCTAGAATTAAAAACAGATTGAGGGGTGGGGGTAACAAAGCAAATAGAAAAGAAAAAAAAAAAGGAAGGGAAGGGAAGGCGGAGAATAGAAATAGAATGCTTCTTGGTTAGAAACGCTGCTCATACCATCAGGATTGGGGCCAGGATCAGGGACACCTTAAATTTCAGGCACTGCATATAATGCAGTGGAAACAGACAGACCTTTATTGTGAGAAAGCTGGTCTTTGTGTGTATCAGCAATTACCTGCAACACTCCAGAAACTGAAGCACAGGGACTCACCTACCCAACTAAAATAACTAACTATTGTATGACATGTAGATTAGATGCACTTAGCATCTGAAGATGTAATTTATTTTTGCATTAAAAGAGGTTATGTATGTCACATGTAATTACAAAATAGAACATTTTAAGTATTGGGGCTTGCTAAAGTTTTTCACCATTTAGAATGATTTAATGATGGACTTTAAATAAAACCATATCTACAGTGTAAGAAAAGTAAGCTTGTATATGCAAATACAAAAGAAAAAAATAAATAAATTAAAAAATAATTGAGGGTTGGTAGGTGTCTATATCTCCCAATACCTGGACCCAAATTCCTTTCATTTAAATAAACTGATGTAATAAAAAGGGTAAAAAATAACTTACTATACAGTAGTGGAAGAGAGAGAAATTCACAAAAAATAAAATAAACTATAGCACATAAAAGCAGTATTAAGTTTTTGTTTTTTTAAATAATTAATAATGTAAACCAAACCCCCGTAGGAAAGTGGGGTTAACCGAGGTCATATCATGCACATAAAAACAAAGTCCAAGAAACAATCCCATTAACATTCCAGTAAAAATGTACAAAGTGTTAATTTTTTTTTTTTTAAATAAAAATTAAAAAAAAAAAAACACAACAAAAAACAAAAACACAAACCACATACTTTGGAAACATGAATCCAACTTCGTTATAGTCACAACTTAATAGAGACATCGAATAAATGCAGTATAAAAAAAATAAATAAAAGTTGGATATAGAGTGGATCACAAATACAAAAAAAAAAAAAAGCAAAACACACAACAACAACAAAACTTTTGCTGCTTATGCATCAACAATAATATAAAATAAGAGAGCGCAAAAATTATTAGATTTTAGAGTATTTTATCTCTGTCCCTATACTTGTAAATAAGGGGTTGGTCTGCTAAGCGCTGATACTATTGTTTTATGTATTGCTTATGCATCATGATGGAAACAGAGCAACAAATGGGTTAACAGTAATTAAGAGCTACATAAAATCCACATTTCTGGATAAATTTATAGCCATAATATGCATGTACAGTACTTTAAACATTAAATTACACTTGTAGCATTTACATGCATGTAAAATTAAACTAAATATTCTCCAATAAGTGAGATTTAAAAAGATTGAGAAACCCCATCACTTGGCAAGGGAATGTGTGAATATTAACAAAGATTACAATTAAAAATAAATAAAATGGAAACAAAAAAGCAGAAGCAACTTCTGGAACAAGCTACAGGAGCATGGTTGACTTAAAGTAAAACAAGGGCTGGCAAGAAGGCAGACAAGCTAAAACCTCCATGATACTCAGCCATAATACTGGCAAAGCATTATAGGAGTTTGTTATGTGTGCCATTGAACTGCTGAATGCTCAAAGTTATCTGGGGCAGATGGGTACTGGGCCTGCTGGTCTCTGGGTGCAGATAGTAATACAATGAGCATGGTTAGCGACTATATTACAGCTCCTGGGGTGGACACAGGGCACTGTGGGTGAGAATTGCTGAAAATCAACTCTTGGGGTGGATACAGGTCATGATAGGTGTTAACTGTACAATAAATTCTGGAGGTGGATAAAGGGCATGGTAGATGAGACAGCCCCTGAGGAGAATATGGTGCATGGTGGGTGAGAATAACTGTATAATGGGTCCTACAGGACCTGGTGGGTGATAACTGTATAAAATCTCCTGGAGGTGTACACAGGGCATGTTGTAGATTCCCTATAGTGGGTGAGAATAGCTGTATAACAGATCCTGGAGTGGATACAGAGCATGGTGGAAGAGAATGATTGTATAATAGATCCTCGGTGGATACAGGTGAGAATGGCTGTATAACCGATCCTTTGGTGGATACAGAGCACGGTGTTTGATAATTGTATAATAGATCCTGGGGGTGGGTACAGGGCATGGTTGGTGAGAATAATTGTATAATAGATCCTGGGGGTGGGTACAGGGCATGGTGAGTGAGAATAATTGTATAATAGATCCTGGCAGTGGATACAGGGCATGGTTGGTGAGAATAATTGTATAATAGATCCTGGGGGTGGGTACAGGGCATGGTGGGTGAGAATAATTGTATAATAGATCCTGGGGGTGGGTACAGGGCATGGTGGGTGAGAATAATTGTATAATAGATCCTGGGTGGATACAGGTGAGAATGGCTGTATAACCGATCCTTTGGTGGATACAGAGCACGGTGGATGATAATTGTATAATAGATCCTGGGGGTGGGTACAGGGCATGGTTGGTGAGAATAATTGTATAATAGATCCTGGGGGTGGGTACAGGGCATGGTGAGTGAGAATAATTGTATAATAGATCCTGGCAGTGGATACAGGGCATGGTTGGTGAGAATAATTGTATAATAGATCCTGGGGGTGGGTACAGGGCATGGTGGGTGAGAATAATTGTATAATAGATCCTGGGGGTGGGTACAGGGCATGGTGGGTGAGAATAATTGTATAATAGATCCTGGGGGTGGGTACAGGGCATGGTGGGTGAGAATAATTGTATAATAGATCCTGGGGTGGATACAAGGCATGGTGGGTGAGAATGATTGTAAAACATTAACTGAGGTAAATATGGTGTATGGTGGGTGAGAATAATTGTATAATAGATCCTGGCAGTGGATGCAGGGCATGGTGGGTGAGAATAATTGTGTAATAGACCCTGGGGTGGATACAAGGCATGGTGGGTGAGAATGATTGTAAAACAGTAACTGAGGTGAATATGGTGTATGGTGGGGGAGAATAACTGTATAACAGATTCTGGGGTGGATACATGGCATGGAGGGTGATAACTGTATGAAAACTCCTGAAGGTGGGTACAGGGCATGCTGTAGATATAGAGGATAATAGGTGAGAATGGCTGCATTATGGTTGCTGGGGTGGATACAGGGCATGGTGGGTGATAACTACTGTATAATAACCCCTGGGGGTGGATCCAGAGCATGGTGTTGATTAGGGGCATAGTGGGTGAGAATAACTGTATGAAAGCTCCTGGGGTGTATATAGTACATGTTGGGTGAGAATGGGTGTATAATTGCCCCTGGGAGTGTATAATAGCCCCATGGGTTTAGAATGGATGTATAGTTGCCCCTGGGGGTCAGAGTGGGTGTATTATTGCCCCTGGGGGGTCAGAGTGGGTGTATAATTGCCCCTGGGGGGTCAGAGTGGGTGTATAAGTTGCCCCTGGGGGGTCAGAGTGGGTGTATAGTTGCCCCTGGGGGGTCAGAGTGGGTGTATATTTGCCCCTGGGTGGGTCAGAGTGGGTGTATAAATGCCCCTGGGGGGTCAGAGTGGGTGTATAGTTGCCCCTGGGGGGTCAGATTGGGTGTATAGTTGCCCCTGGGGGGTCAGAGTGGGTGTATAGTTGCCCCTGGGGGGTCAGAGTGGGTGTATATTTGCCCCTGGGTGGGTCAGAGTGGGTGTATAAATGCCCCTGGGGGGTCAGAGTGGGTGTATAGTTGCCCCTGGGGGGTCAGATTGGGTGTATAGTTGCCCCTGGGGGTCAGAGTGGGTGTATAGTTGCCCCTGGGGGGTCAGAGTGGGTGTATAGTTGCCCCTGGGGGGTCAGAGTGGGTGTATAGTTGCCCCTGGAGGGTCAGAGTGGGTGTATAATTGCCCCTGGGGTGGATTCAGTGCATGGAGGGCGCTCTGTCCATGTGTGGTGTGTCAGGGCCTCAGGCCCCGGGCTGCTCACTCTCCTCTCCCCGCCTTAAAGGCACAGAGAGCTCCAGCCACACAGGCAGCTCCCAGGCCCACAGCACGGGCGGGCGGGCGGGAAGGAAGGAAGATGTCGGCAGCTGGCTCAGGTTAACCCCGCCGCTGCCAGTCCCCTCGGCCCTTAAGGCGGCACGGCCTGCACCCCACCCCCGTTAGCTCACCGCCCGGATACAGGGATCACACGAGGAGATAAGGCGATTCTACTCACCGGATCTATATTCCTATTTAACGGTACCCCTTTAAACAACGGCGGCGGCGGCTTCCCTCCCCCTGTGATTCCTCCGCTCCTCCTCCCTCCCTCTCACTTACCGGCTCTCCATCCGCCTCCCTCCGCAGGCTCCTGCACACCCACAATGCACTGCGTGCCTGCCACTGACACAGCACTGAGCACACACTGCCTGCCACTGACACACAGCACTGAGCACACACTGCCTGCCACTGACATAGCACTGAGCACACACTGCCTGCCACTGACACCCAGCACTGAGCACACACTGGCTGCCACTAACACACAGCACTGAGCACATACTGCCTGCCACTGACACACAGCACTGAGCACACACTGCCTGCCACTAACACACAGCACTGAGCACACGCTGCCTGCCACTGACACACATCAGTTAGCACACACTGCCTGCCACTGACATAGCACTGAGCACACACTGCCTGCCACTGACACCCAGCACTGAGCACACACTGCCTGCCACTGACACACTGCACTGAGCACACACTGCCTGCCACTGACACACTGCACTGAGCACACACTGCCTGCCACTGACACACTGCACTGAGCACACACTGCCTGCCACTGACACACAGCCATGCTTTTGCTGTATGCTTCGGGTCATTGTCCATCTGCACTGTGAAGCGCCGTCCAATGAGTTCTGAAGCATTTGGCTGAATATGAGCAGATAATATTGCCCGAAACACTTCAGAATTCATCCTGCTGCTTTTGTCAGCAGTCACATCATCAATAAATACAAGAGAACCAGTTCCATTGGCAGCCATACATGCCAAGGCCATGCCACTACCACCACCATGCTTCACTGATGAGGTGGTATGCTTTGGATCATGAGCAGTTCCTTTCCTTCTCCATACTCTTTTCTTCCCATCACTATGGTACAAGTTGATCTTGGTCTCATCTGTCCATAGGATGTTGTTCCAGAACTGTGAAGGCTTTTTTAGATGTTTGGCAAACAATGGTTTACATCTTGCGGTGAACCCTCTGTATTCACTCTGGTGAAGTCTTCTCTTGATTGTTGACTTTGACACACATACACCTACCTCCTGAAGAGTGTTCTTGATCTGGCCAACTGTTGGGAAAGGTGTTTTCTTCACCAGGGAAATAATTATTCGGTCATCCACCACAGCTGTTTTCCGTGGTCTTCCGGGTCTTTTGGTATTGCTGAGCTCACCGGTGCATTCTTTCTTTTTAAGGATGTTCCAAACAGTTGATTTGGCCACACCTAATGTTTTTGCTATCTCTATGATGGGTTTGTTTTGTTTTTTCAGCCTAATGATGGCTTGCTTCACTGATAGTGACAGCTCTTTGGATCTCATATTGAGAGTTGACAGCAACAGATTCCAAATGCAAAAAGCACACTTGAAAAGAACTCTGGACCTTTTATCTGCTCTTTGTAAATGGGATAATGAGGGAATAACACACACCTGGCCAAGGAACAGCTGAGCAGCCAATTGTCCCATTACTTTTGGTCCCTTGAAAAGTGTGAGGCACATATACAAACTGTTGTAATTCCTACATCGTTCACCTGATTTGGATGTAAAGACCCTCAAATTAAAGCTGAAAGTCTGCAGTTAAAGCACATCTTGTTCATTTCATTTCAAATCCATTGTGGTGGTGTATAGAGCCAAAAAGATTAGAATTGTGTCGATGTCCCAATATTTATGGACCTGACTGTGTGTTTGTGTGTGTTTGCAAGCACTGTGTGTGTGTGTGTGTGTGTGAGGGTGCTGTGTGTGTGTAAGGGTGATGTGTATGTGTAAGGGTGCTGTGTGTGTGTGTGTGTGTGTGTGTGTGTGTGTGTGTAAGGGTGCTGTTAGTGTGAGTTCTGTGTGTGTAAGGATGATGTATGTGTGTGCTGTATGTTTGTGTATTGTGTGGGGGTGGGAGGGCCGTTAATATCCCCCCTCCCTTCTTACCTTTTGTAGGGAGGGGGGACTGTGCTGCTGCCATCCCTGGTGGTCCAGTGGTAAGTGAACTCTAGCCCCGCATCCTGCGGGGCTAGAGTTCATTCTCACGAGAACTGAGCGTTTTGCCGCGGTAACCTCGCGAGAGGAACCCGGCAGAGCTGCTGGCAAGAGCTCTCCGGGTCCTCGCCTGCCTCCCTCACTTCATGTGGGTCGATGAGGGAGATCTTTGATCTCACTTACAGGCCCATGGAGGGAGGCGCATAGCGCGGGCCACGGGGATTAGGGTGTGCCTAGGCACACCCGGCACACCCCGTGCGCACGTCTATGCACACAGCACTGAGCACACACTGCCTGCCACTGACACCCCGCACTGAGCACACACTGCCTGCCACTAACACACAGCACTGAGCACACACTGCCTGCCACTAACACACAGCACTGAGCACACACTGCCTGCCACTGACACACTGCACTGAGCACACACTGCCTGCCACTGACACACAGCCATAGGCGTGCGCAGCCTATTGCATTAGGGTGTGCACCCTAAAGCACAAACGCCGCATGTGTGTATGTGTATGTATAATATTATATATATATATATACACACACACACACACTGCTGTGTGTGCTGTTAGTGTGCTGTGTGCGGTTAGTGTGATGTGTGTGTGAGGGTGTTTGTGTGTGTGTGTTTGTCCTGTGAGGGTGCTGTTTGTGTGAGTGTCGTGTATTTGTGAGGGTGCTGTTTGTGTGTGTGTGTTGTGTTGTGTTTTTTTTTAAGGTGCTGTGTGTGTTTGTGAGGGTGTGGTTAGTGTACTGTGTGTGCTGTATGTGTGTAGGTGCTGTATGTGTGTGCTGTATGTTTGGAGGGATTGTGGAGGTGGGGGCAGATTAGTAAATCCTTGCTGCCATGCGCCATCCCTGCGGGGCTAGAGTTAACTCTCGCGAGATCTGAGCGTTGCCAGGCAACGCTCAGATATCGCGAGAGGAACCTGGCGGAGCTTCTGTCTAGAGCTCCCTGGGTCCTCTCCTGCCTCCCTCCATGCTGCTGTGGGCCGTTGAGGTAGATCTTTGGTCTCCCCGCCGGCCCATGGAGGCTTAGAGCAGAGCCGGCACTCAGATAGCGCCGGCTCTGCGTGAGCCGACAGGGGAGATCGGGAGATCTCCCCTGCCAGCAGGGTACAAGTCCTGTGGAATAATGTGTGGGAACTCTCCCAAGATTCCCACCCCCCCCAAAAAAATAATATACACGTGTGTGAGCGCGCATTATATATATATATATATATATATACACACACACACACACACATTCACATACTCAGACACACATTCACAAACAGACACACACACAGACAAATTATTATATTTTAATAAAAAAAAATGTCCACCCAGCCTCCCTACCTGGAGTGCTGGCGTGGACTTTTCCCTGGGGTCCAGTGGGGCTGGTGCCTGTCTGCATCTCAGCCGCGGCGAGGGAGCTGTGTGCTCTCTGCTCCCTCTCGCCGCGTGGGCTGTCTACAGTAGCTAGGAGCCGGAATATGACGTCATATTCCGGCTCCCAGCATTGGCGTGCGGCGAGCGGGAGCAGAGAGCACACAGCTCCCTCGCCGCGGCTGAGATGGAGAGAGGGATCCATCACCTCTTGCCCCCCTCCATGACAGGGGCAAGAGGTGAGACAGGGGGCGCTGAGTGCCTGCAGGAACAGCGTTCCTGCTCAAAAAAAAAAGTGCAGGAACACTGTTCCTGCAGGACTCAAACCATAGGCGTGCCACTGGGATTAGGGTGTGCCCAGGCACACCCCGTGCGCACGCCTATGCACACAGCACTCAGCACACACTGCCTGCCACTGACACACAGCACTGAGCACACACTGCCTTCCACTAATGCACAAAACTGAGCACACACTGCCTGCCACTAACACACAGCACTGAGCACACACTGCCTGCCACTAACGCACAAAACTGAGCACACACTGCCTGCCACTAACACACAGCACTGAGCACACACTGCCTGCCACTAACGCACAGCACTGAGCACACACTGCTTATGCTGAATACGTGTGCTCTTTATTAGTTGCTGTCATGTTTAAAACTAAAACACAACACAGACCATGCACAGAGGGTTACTCATCCAAGTTGGTCATCAGAGATATCTATGAAATTGAGAATTCAAAGTTTAAAGGTCACCTGTTATGCCCCACACAATTTATGCTCATTAGATTAAGCATGAGATTTTATCTAGAATATATTATTTACATATACTTCATTTAAAAAAAGATACATTTATATATTTCATTTCTTTGATGAAAGGTTAATTACATTGAAATCTAGAACGGGACATTATCATTTGGATTCTGCCCTGCAATGTGAATGTTTGCGAATAAATACAGTCAACCTCAATGCAGCTGTCGTGGCCCTATTCAAGTACAATATTGTTAAAGACGGTTAATCACTGAAGTGAGAATACAGAGTTCAATTGAAAGTAAAACTAAAGTCACCAGAACCACTACACAGTGGCGTACACACAATCCATGAGGCCCCGGTGCTAAACTGATCCATGGCTCCCCCCCTCCCCTCAACAGACACATACATACAGAGACGCATACATACAGACACACATACATACAGAGACACATACATACACACAGACAGACAGACATACATACAGACAGGCACACATGTATACATATAAAAACACACATTCAGACAGACACACACAGTTTCCACTCTGACTCCCTCTCCTTCCTCCCGCACAGATCTCTCTGATAGCTGGGAGGAGTGATGGGGCAGTCACTTCCTCCCAGCTGTGATGTCATCACAGGGGGCCCGGACGTGCTGTTAAAGCGCCGCAACGCTGACCCCCTGGAAATCCATAGCCATCGGGTGGCCTAACAGCATAGGCCACCAGATGGGCCCCTTGAACATGCGGCCCCGGCGGTTTGCACGGGCGAGGGCCGCAACACATGGCGGCGGGCACTCGGTTGCAGGGGTCCGCAGGGAAGCCGGCCCCCCTGGAGTGACGGGCCCGGTCGCAGCTGAGGCACCACTGCCATTACAGATGTAAAAAGGCAGTGTTCACATTACTGCCTAGTAACACCTCCAGTGGCAGTCACTCAGGCAACCACTAGAGGAGCTTCCTGTGTCAGTACTGCACTTTTATTTTTAAATGTGTCCTGGTGAACCCAATAGATTTCTTTTTGTGAGGTTGTTGGTAGGGGAGCTTTGGTTTATGGTAGTACATACTAGCTCAGCAGTTGCCCATTATTCCTTTGTCTTTCCAAATTGGACTAAATTTCTCCCATGCACTAGGGATGGGTCAGAATATATCTGGAAATAAGTCACAAGCAATTCCTAATTGTTCAGTAGGCAAAGGGATGAAAATATATGCAAATGAGTTCCATAATAACTGGGGATGCAATAACTGGGAACCTTCTCTCTGTTTCCTCACACCATGCATAGCAGGAGAAAGAGTAATACAAAAAAAATCTTCCACCCTCTAGGTACTCATGTTAAAACACATACCACTTCCCACGGAATTAGGGGGTATTATTCTAGCAAAAAACAATAGAGTGCGATCCTTTACTGTTATAAATAGACTATCCACAGAAAGCAAAAATAAAAAGAAGCTTGGCGCTCGATGGTCCCTGGGTGGCTTGGAGCCCAGATTGCTGGAGTCCAAAAAGTCAGAAGCAACCAGAGCTGGAGCCGGCACGTCAATAGAATAAAGAAAATGCTAAAAGCTATACCTTTTTAGAATGAGTAAGTGCTCTATTGTACAAAAAGTTAGGCTGTAAGCATTTTATGTCTGTGCCATTTGAGGTAGTGTAAATCTTTTTCAATTATGTGACAAAGTCATTTGGATTTTAAAGGGCATAGATTTTGTCAGTTTTGTTTAGTCTCTTCACATGTAGCAGCACTGTTGTGTGGCTTGTTTCAGACCTTGTTGCCTTCTAGGTATCTTCTGGTTATTATGGAGCATTGAGAGCTCATTAACTGTAGATAAAGAATACATAACTTTGTATATTGGGATATCATAATAAATCATGAGATTGGAAGTTTCTTTCTCCTCAGCTGCTCCCCATGGCATTCATTTTACTAATGGAACAGCGCTGAGTTAAAAATGGCTTTGAAAGAGACCGCAAGAGGAAATCATCAATTCTTCATCTGAAAGGCCAGTTTTATTGGGAAGCATGATGGAGAATAACATAGGCCTCCTGTGTGAGAGCACATCAGTGACATGACTCCTTACAGCTTCATCAAAGGTGACTTTGGTTTGGACATTGTAGATGCTGTGACGAAGTGCCCTTCGCCAGTTGTGCCTGGAGGGGACTACTGACTAGCCTCCTGCCTTCCGACTATGGCCCCTGTGCTGGTAGCTGTATTTTACCCTGCAGAAAGGTTTATTTGTGTATTTCTGCCGGGTCGTTCGGGACTTTCAGTATGTGAGTAGTG